TGGAGATCTCAGTTACAGGTCCTGCATACCTGGGTTTTTCTGCAGGTTTCCTCATAGGTGAGAGAGCCTGTGGAGGGCTGCCTTGAGCATGACAGCAGTTGAGTTCTGGAGGTTTTCAGCTGCGGGGGTGGGGAGGGAAACTCAACCTGCTCCCCCTCCATGCTGTCCCGATGAAGACATCCTGGTGGGGCGTGGGGACGTTCTATGTTGTTTCATTCATTTAAGAGACTTTCCTTTCTCATTGTATAGACTTGGCTTCTTTGTCATAGTTGCCAGGTTGTCCAAAATAAGAATGAGATAATAAGATGTCTTCTGGGAGCTGGGTTTTAAGTCTTTGGGTCTTGGCCTTTGATGGGATTACATAGTGCCAGGGGGCTAGTTGGTGGGTGTGATCCCCTCCTACTGGAAGATGGAGGATCTGGGTGGAGCATGCTCAGCCCCGATCCGAGCAGGCTTGGAGATCTCAGCCACGAGACCTGCATGCCTTTGTTCCTCTGCTGGTACCTTCATGCGTGTGGAGAGTGGTCTCAGCGTGGTTGTGGCTGGTTCTGGAGGTCTTCGGCTGCCGGGGCTCTGCTCGGGGCGGGGAGGGAAACTCAACCCACCCCTCTCCAAGGGGCCCTGGTGAGGACAGCCAGGCGTGGTGGCAGGAGATTCTGCCCTGTTCTCTTCTGGGAGCTGGGTTTTGTAGTATCCTACCCACACGGCAGAGTCTGACAAACTCCCCGTGGTGTACCCAGTGTGTCAAATACCAGTAACAATGATGGGTCTCATTCTCCTAACCCTGAAAGAGCCTTGAATATGGCACTTTTTAAAATCTCAGGGCTAGGGTGAAGGAGATGTTACTGGTGCCTGCTCGAGGCAATCGATGAACAACAGGATGTCATAGATAAGAAACGCAGGTTTGTTTTTGCATTCATTGTTTTACTGACTTGTATGCCTTGTTTTTGTTCCAGTGCCTGACTTTCATTCACTGTCCCTGTTACTGTCCTCCCGTTGTTCATCGATTTGCTCGAGCGGACCCAGTAATGTCTCCATTGGAAACTTTTGTTGTTATGTTAAACTGTGTTTGGCATATCGAATACAGCACGGGTAGTTTGCCAGGCTCTGCCATGCGGGCGAGATACTCTCAGTAGCTTGCCGGGCTCTCCGAGTGGGGTGGAGGAATCGAACTCGGGTCGGCCATGTTGGCTGCATGCAAGGCAAACACCCTACCGCTGTGCTATGGCTCCAGCCCTGACTTTCATTATTACTTTGTAATACAGTTTGAAATCAAGGAAAATGATGACTATGTTTTTTGTTTCTCTCAAAATTGTTGTGACTATTCATGATCTTTTGTTGTCCTATACAAAGTTCTTTACCTTGAGGAATACTATTTCTAGGGGCTTGGAGACAGGGTACAGCATTTAAGCTGCTTTCCTTGCATATGGGTTCAGCATCCCATATAGTATCTTGAGTCCTACCAAGAATGATCCCTGAGCACAGATCCAGGAGTAAACCTGACCACAGCCAATGCTATTTGATAGGTATTGTGTTGACTCTGGGTCTAGCAATAGCACACTGGTAGGACGTTTCATTGCACGGGGCCAACCTGACCAACCCGCGTTCAATTCCTCCACCCCTCTCGGAGAGCCCGGCAAGCTACCCAGAGCATCTCGCCCGCACGACAAAGCCTGGCAAGCTACCCGTGACGTATTCGATATGCCAAACACAGTAACAACAAGTCTCAATGGAGACGTTACTGGGCCTGCTCGAGCAAATCGATGAACAACGAGAGAACAGTGACAGTGTTGACTCTAGATTGATTTAGGTAATATGGCCATTTTTTCCTTTTTATTTTCATTTAGGCACCATTATTTAGTGTTTGGGCTGGAGCGATAGCACAGCGGTAGGGCGTTTGCTTTGCATGCAGCCAACATGGCCAACCCGAGTTCGATTCCTCCGCCCCTCTCGGAGAGCCCGGCAAGCTACCGAGAGTATCTCGCCCACCCGGCAGAGCCTGGCAAGCTCCCCGTGACGTATTCGATATGCCAAACACAGTAACAACAAAGTCTCCAATGGAAACGTTACTGGGCCCACTCGAGCAAATCGATAATCAACGGGAGGGCCTTTACTTTTACTTACTTTATTTAGTGTTTGGGGAATAGAGTAGTGCTATACCATATATGCCGTCAGATTGCCCTAGCATCCTTCTACAACTGTGTCTAGAAAGATGACCATTTATTTATTTATTTATTTATTTATTGAATCACTGTGGGAAAGGTTACAAAGCTTTCAGGTTTATGTCTCAGTCATGCAAATATCAAACACATTTCCCTTTACCAATACTTATTTTTTACCATGAAGAACCCCAATAAAATCCCACCCCCCACCCCTCCCCGTCCCTGTGAGGCAGATGAATTCTAGTTAACACTCTATCTGCTTTGATTAGATTCATTGTTTCAATAAAAGATTCACCACTATTATTTAGAGTTTACCCCCCCCCCCCCCCAAATCAGACATGCTGAAAAAGCATTGTGAAGTGATTTGCTTTCTACAGCTGGGTTCAAGAATTAAATGTTGGTTTTGGATTTCTGCTATTTTACCTATTGACCCTGGAAGTATTTCTACTGAAAGTCAGATAGTTAAGAAATTGGTTTCTGTGCTCTGGAGTCATGGCCGTGCTGGAGAAAGATGACCATTTTTATGTTTATCTTTCCAATCTATAAACAGAATATTTGTTTCTTGTTTTATTTCTTTTAGTAATGTCTTATAGTTAATCTACTTGACCTAGTGGTGTTGGCTCTTCACTCTCCCAAATTATGCCTTCTCTTCTCAATCCTGATATTGAACACACAAATGATAAATCCCTTTCAGCATGATATTTAGAAAATCTGTATAATGGTACCATAATACAAGAAGTATGAGGAAATTTTGCTTTTAAAACGTTTTAATGTTCAAGTATCTGGGTACGACCTCAATAAGAAACAAATTATAGTGGTCAGGGCTGCTGGAGCGATAGCACAGTGGTAGGGCGTTTGCCTTGCAGGCAACCAACATGGCCGACCCGAGTTCGATTCCTCTTCCCCTCTTGGAGAGCCCGGCAAGCTACCCAGAGTATCTCGCCCGCACGGCAGAGCCTGGCAAGCCACCCGTGATGTATTCGATATGCCAAACACAGTAACAACAAAATCTCCAATGGAGACGTTCCTGGGCCCACTCGAGCAAATCGATGAACAAGGGAGGGCCTTTACTATAGTGGTCAGATGCTACTATATAAGTACTATTGACATTGATAATGTGAGACTCTAAGATGGTGAAAACCCTTTAAGGGTTAGCAAATCATGGCTCTCAGAATTTACTCAGTAATTACATTTCTGAGAGAAAAGTGTGTATATGTAAAAACACACTGCCCTCCCGTTGTTCATCGATTTGCTCGAGTGGGCCCAGTAACGTCTCCATTTTTTTGAGACTTGCTGTTACTGTGTTTTGCATATTGAATACGTCACACGCAGGCGAGATACTCTCGGTAGCTTGCCGAGCTCTCTGAGAGGGGCGGAGGACTCAAACATGGCTTGGCCAGACTGGCTTGCGCGCAAGGCAAACACCCATCCACTGTGCTATCGCTCCAGTAATTACATATCGCTCAGTAATTACATTTCTGAGAGAAAAGTGCGTATACTGAACAAAAATCTTTTTATACAGATAAAATTGATTTAGAGTCAAAGTTCATATCATTATTAAATGTATTTTGTCTTTTTGTGACAATTCTTGATTCTTATATGTTGCAGGACATTTAGTATACTTCTCGGCTTCTCAATTAAATGCAAATTGTACCCTCACCAATCTTTGTCTATAATCAAAACAGTATACCCTGCCATTTTCAAAATGCCTAAAGAATAGTACTTCTTGTGAGAGGAAATATCTTGGTTAATACCATTGACTTGCCAGAGGGTTTAGTCACTAATGAGATTATTCCTATGTAGCTCACTTTTTTGTTGCTGAATCCTAAAATACATTAACAAACTTCATTTTCTATCTAACTGCATTGCTTAGCAGTAAATTATGCAAACTACTTCTTATGAAACCCAAAGAAGAAATTTGTGAACTCAGCCACTGTACTTTTTTTTTTCGTTTGGGGTGGTGAGGGATGCCCAATGATGCTTAAGAGTTGTTCTAATGGGGCTGTAGTGATAGTACAGCGGGTAGGGCATTTGTCTTGCACGTGGCCGACCCGGGTTCGATTCCTAGCATCCCATATGGTCCCCCGAGCACCTCCAGGAGTGATTCCTGAGTGCATGAGCCACGAGTGGCCCCTGTGTACCTCCCGGTGTGACCCAAAAAGCAAAAAAAGTTGCTCTAAATCTGTGCTTCTGTTATTTGATGGTGCTTGGAGGACCATGTGGTGACAGGGATTAAATCTTAACTCCTATACTCTGATCCCTCTGCTAATTTTGTTTTGTTTGGGGGTAATTAACAAGGCTTCCTCCTGGCTTTGCACTCAGGGATCGCTTCTGGCAGACTCAGGAGACCTTATAGGTATGCTGGGAATTGATGCCAGGTCGGCCGCGTGCAAGGCAAGGCAAACACCTACCTGTGTGCTGTACTATCACTCTACCCTCACCTAACCCCCACAGTGCTAACTTTTAAATTAATTTTAATAAACCCTAATAGTGTCAGCTTTGTGCCTTTAATTCCGTTTTATGTATAAACTCCAGCAGAGAAGCTGGCATAACTAAGGAGCAAAGAAAGCCAGAACTCCACCTGATGATTGAACAAGTTTGTCAAGGAAGAACCTTAGGCCTAATGAAGAAGGGAGTCATTAAGTACTTTCACTCTCACATGCCCTTGTTGAGTCTCTAGGCTTTGAGGGACAGGATGTATGCTGTTTAATTGGAAAAAAAGCAAATCCTTGAGGCACATACCTATAATTTATCACTCTAATTCCCGTAGCGTCACAAAGATGTAATTTTTAAAAATATTTTTTCCACTTCATAATTTCCTGCCTTTTCTCCTCTTAGGGGGAATGCCAGCCCAGATGGGAATGCCAGGAAGTGGACCGGTGCCCATGGACCGGGGACAAGGTAAATAAATAGCGGTGTCTAATTATTATAGATTTAATTTGGAAATATTCTGTTTGCAACCATTAACCACATCTGTTCTTGAACTTTTAGTTAAAATTAATTGAAATGAGATAAAATCTAAAATTTTGTTTCTTGTTCACACTGGCCATATTTCAAGTACTTAGTACCCACATAATGGCTAGCGGCTACCATACTATGTATTGAAAATACATAGAATGTATCCATCCTCACAGAAAATTCTTTTGGGGAGTGCTAGTCTAGGTTTTTTCACCTAGTGAATCAGAGCCCAGCTCTATAAGTTTTGGTGGAACAAATGGATCTAAATAATTTTTAGTTTAAAACAATGTGTTTTCTTTAACTGTATTTAAATTGTCTTGACTTTCCCTGTTAGTATAGTGACTCTATTGATACATTCTCTTAACCCTATGGATAGCTGTTGAAGGAATTTTAATGAGAATGAGACATAATGAGTATAAGACTAAAACCCCAGAGGAAACTGGAAAAGAATGAAAGATCTATGAAACCAGTTTGATAAATATTTATTATGCTGTGTATCAGTAACACAAGATACTACCTAGGTAGCCAATTCAAAATTTCCACATTATTCCTTTTTTTTTAACGGGAGTTTGAAGAAAGAAAAAATGTAGTGGGAGGAGAGGCTCCATCACTGGAACAAAGGCCACGCTAAGAATATCAGAAAGAAGACCATCAACAACTCCAGGCTCTCCCCCTTGACAACCACCCTAGCAACAGACTTCATGGGGGCAGTTTTGCAATACTGTATATAAGTTACTTTAGCAGAGAAAAATGCATGTTTTCCCTCATCTCTGCCTAGTATATGTATTTTAGGTCACAATTCCCCATCGGGGGAAGTGGTCCACATGTGTGATGTGTAGTTTGTTTGTGGAATGTATTCTTCATCTTAGAAATGGGCTACAGCTCTACTTGGGATATGTAATTTGTTTTATTTCCCCACTGGAGAATCCCGTGTTCTTACTTGAACACATGTTTCTTTACTCCCATTATTTTCCACATAAACTTCATAAAAAAAGAAAAAGAAAAATTGTGGTGGTTCAGTTGCAGATAGTGTTAAGGAGAAGAGAGAGTGAGAAAACAGAAAGAATGGAGAATAAAACAGTATGCATGTGTAGCTAGGCACTTTAATTTTCATAAACAGCAGTGTGAATCAGAGGACAGTACCTCAGTTTTAACAGCTAAAGATGGAAGCTCAAGAATTTAGTTTCTAAGGTAAATGGTAAGTATTAGTATCTGACTAATATGGATTGGACTTCTCTTCCAACTAGCAAGTAATGAAGCTAAGAATTAGAAATCTCTGACTCCAAAAAATATTCCTCTGGGGCCTAAGCAAAAGTATGCTTGTTTGCCTTGGATGGAACCATTCTGGGTTTGATTCCCAGCACTTCACATATGGTCCACTGAGCACCGCCAGAAGTGATCCCTCACTACAGAGCCAGAAGTAAACCCTGAGCACAACCGGTCTGGCACAAAAACAAAAACCCAAAAATTCTCTCCTGTATCTTCCATTCTTACTCACTGGCTCCATATAATGAAGGGAGTCTGCTTTGGACACATAGAGAAAAGCATAAATTGCTGTTGTTTAGTGTATGGCCTTTTCATGAAGCTCATTGATTTAAGGAGCAAAATATAAGCCTGTTTACTCTACAGGTAAGACATCACTAAATGTCTTCCATAGATACTTGGAAACTGACTTGAAGTGAAACTAAAGTCCTCAAATATTTTGTTCAGTGTTGCAGTAATAGGAAATTTTTCCCTCATCAACATTAAAAGAAGTCCAATAATTCAAGGACATGCTAAATTCTCTATGATTTTCATTTGGGTTGGTTGCTGAAGCAGTAAAACTAAATTTTTTTACTTGTCAGGTATTAACAAACTCTTCGGCAAATAACTTACCTGGGCAGCCCACCAGGCTTTTGTGCTGTTCTGCTATTCCTCCCATCCCCACTGCCACTGCCTGTAGATTGTGTACCCCAGAGTATTTTTGCAGGCTGGTATTCAGGTTTCATTTATATTTTCACCTCTCCCCAGGCCTATCAGTGAAATTTATCTAATATCCCTTCCATAAGACATTTTCATTTCTACCATAAGTATATTTATCTTTCTAGTTCATTAATAGAGGAAAATGACATACTGAAAGTATGTCAAGGATTTCTTCCTGAAGAAACAAATGAGGTGTATAGTATTTCTTCCGTACCAGCAGAGGAAGCAAAAATGTTTTTAGATTTTTACCAAGTTTGCCTTTTCCTTCCTGGAAGCTATGCTTCTTTTGTGCATTTGTAATGGTAAAAGGCAATAGTGAGATATTAAAGAAGATACGCACTTAATCTTTTTTACTGGAGGAGGGTTACACCCAGAAGTGCTTGGGACTGACTCTTGGCTCTGTGCTCTGGAATCATTTCTGGCAGTACTTGGGGGAACATATGCAAAGCCCGGAATCAAACCTGGATCAGCCACATGCAGGGAAAGTGCCTTTAGTCCTGTACTATCTTTCTGGCCCTCCTATTTAATACTTTTTGATTGCAGAAACTTTTATGACAAAAGTAGTATTATCTCAGTTGTCCTCCAGATTCATTATGTTAGTAAGATTTTTTTTTGGCTTTTTTTGGGTCACACCCGGCGATGCTCAGGGGCCATCCTGGCTCTGCACTCAGGAATCAATCCTGGAGGTGCTCGGGGGACCATATGAGATGCTGGGGATCAAACCCAGGTGGGCCGCGTGCAAGGCAAACGCCCTACCCGCTGTGCTATTGCTCCAGCCCCTAGTAAGATTTTTTAAGTTTGTGTTTTTGCCTAGAAATTAAAAACATTTTAATATTTTTCTTTTTGTTGGTGGTATTATAAGGAAATTTGTGGAAAATGGTAGTAGTAGAGGCGAACATTAAAAATGGTTGGTTAATCTGTCCAAATAATATCAGCGGTCTACCGGTTTCACCTTAGAAACTTTTAATCAAGATGAACAGTTTCATGTCCCGAAGATTTTGTAGCTTGGGGCAAACTAACAAACTCTTCGCATTCTAACATGTATAACTCTCCTGTGTGTGTATATGTGTGTGCATGTGAATTTGCACACATATACACACACACAAGCTATTTGTGTCTACTCTTTCTTGTTTTGAATTTACTGCTTACCTAGGAACCCTACAACACTCGCCCGTGGGACCCGCCGGGCCTGCATCAATTGAGCGAGTTCAAGGTACCCATTGTATCTGCCAGATTCCATTTGCTTTTGTTTTCAGGAATGTTGAAAGTCCTCATGTTTGACTTGTTAGACAAACCCAAAGTAGGTAGTGTTTGGGGTTTTTGGTTTATTGTTGATTTTATTGGGTTTTTTGGCTTTGGTTTTGTTTTGGTGCCATGCCTGGTGATGCTTGGGGGCTACTCCTGGCTCTGTGCTTGAGAGTTTCTTCCAGTTCTTCCAGCAGTTCTCAGGGCCTCACGTAGCATGGAACCAGGGTTGGCTACATGCAGAGCATGCAGTCAGCCCATTGAGCTGTCTCTTTGGCCCACAATAAGACTGATATCATTACACAGGGCAGAGAACATAGACGGTATGGACATCTGTCCAAGCCTGTACTCCTTTCTTACCGTTGTCATGAGACTTGGATGGAATAATAGTCTGTAAGGAGAATAAATATTCTTGCAGAGCCATGGCAGTGCTCACATATGCCGAGACCTAACCTTTAATTGGGTGATTCCTTGAACTAATAATTGATCATAAGTAAAACTAGGAACTTAAGTTTCTTCAGGTTGCAGTGCTAGTCCTTGGCCAGTTGCAGCACATTTTACTTTATATAATTCCATCCATATCTCTGACATGGTCTAGAATCTGCCAATACCTTGCTTCTGTTCGTTAACTGCAAAAGGAGTCTATTTTGAGGTTTCACCCACTCAGAGGTGTCCAAATGATGTTGCCAGTTCTATATGGATTCATTTTTTATTTTGTTATGTGCCCTGCACAGCAGTAACTCCATATTTGTTTCCCTGTCAGTACCCATGCAAGATCCCAGAGCAGCAATGCAGCGTGGGGCCTTGCCTGCCAGTGTGGCAACTCCTCGAGGTCTATTAGGTGATGCGCCAAATGACCCACGTGGAGGTACTTTACTTTCTGTAACTGGAGAAGTAGAGCCAAGGTAAGCAGTACTATTGGACAGATCAGAATCCCCTCTTGCTTTGAAAATAAGACTTTTCCTAGTACCAGTTATAGTTGTTTGTATACTTCAAAAGTTAAATATTTATGGCCACTGTCCAAGACTAAGCACTTCTTGGACAGATCTATAAAGTTGAGTATGTCATTTTGAGCTAAACATGACTATTATATTTTCGGAAATTGAAAATTCTGGTACATATCCAAACTATAAACTTACTTTGATTCCTGGTTTCAGAAATATTCATTTGTATAAAAACTCATTTGTAATGATGGTATTGGAGATGATACCCAGTTCTGCTCTGAGTTTGTCCTTGAAATCATTTTAAAGACACAATTCTGTGAAACAGGCAATAATATTTCATATCTCCATTTTACAGATGAAGAAACTGAAGCCTAGGGAAGTTATGCAAAATGCCCAAGATCATATGTCTACTGAATGATGGGGCCTTGATTTGACCCATGTTCTTAAACACTGATAGATATTAATTCCTCTTAATTATAAGTGTCCCAGTCAAATAGGAAATTTAAGAATAAGTGGATTTACTTCAGAGGCTTTTCTTTAGCCTGTTTTGGCTTATTTTCTTTTTAGCATATGGGCTGATATTTTGCATCAAGTTACTTGTTTTTTACTTTCTGAACTTCTGGTTGATAATTTTTAATTGTTTTAATCTGTTTGAAAATATATTTTCTCCATCTCTAGAGGTTACCTCGGACCACCTCACCAAGGTCCTCCTATGCACCATGTCCCTGGCCATGATAGCCGTGGCCCACCCCCACATGAGATGAGGGGAGGGCCATTAGGTGAGCCTAGACCTCTAATGGCAGAGCCAAGAGGACCCATGCTAGATCAGAGGGGTCCGCCCTTGGATGGCAGAGGTAAGGGGAGACCACATTAAAAGTCTGGTAATTGTGGGCTGATGATGAACTTGGATACCTTAGTTTGTAATCTATGATAAAGTTAGCAGTAGGACTGACAAATGTTAAAAATATTTTGCAGGGTCTGGAGAGATAGTATAAGGGTTAAGAAACATGTCTTCCCTGTAGTAACCTCATTGTGCTTTTCAGCACCACATGATCTCATGAACAACCCTGGGGGCAGCCTGGAGGCTCCAAAACACCCCTGGGGTGAGTTGGTAATCCCTGGAGCTGCAGGGTTCGAGTAATACTGCATCCTTGTTTCTACACCACAGCTAGCGATGCTCAGGGGTTACTCCTGGTTCTGCACTCGGGAATTACTCCCTGCAGTGCTTAGGGGACCAAATGGGATGCCAGGGATCAAACCCAGGTCCCCAGTGCAAGGCTAGAGGCCTACTTGCCGTGCTATCTCTCTGGCCCTCAGTTTGTGTCTGTGTGTGGTTTTTTTGTTTGTTTGTTTGTTTTTTGATTCTTTTTGTAATAAAGGTGCATAGTTGTTCAGTGGTTTTCTTGCAACTTTCTTTTAGGTGGAAGAGATCCCAGAGCCATGGATGCCCGGGCCATGGAGGCACGAGCCATGGAGGCAAGGGGATTGGATGCTAGAGGATTGGAGGCTCGTGCAATGGAAGCCCGAGCAATGGAAGCCCGAGCGATGGAGGCCCGAGCAATGGAGGCCCGAGCAATGGAAGTTAGAGGGATGGATCCAAGGGGCCCTGTCCCTGGCCCTAGAGGCCCTCTGCCTGCTGGAATCCAAGGGCCTGGTTCAATTAACATGGGGGCAGTTGGCCCTCAGGGGTCCAGACAGGTATGTTCTAACACTTCTATTTTCTCTGAGATATATTCATTTAAGAATTGATTATGGAGCCTGGTTATAGTTGCTTTCTGATTTGTGCTATTCCTCAGCTTGCTAGAGGGGAAAGATTATGCTTTTCAATTTCTCTGTCCCATAGGTTGGTAATTTTCTGCATATAGTGACTATAGGCCAAAAGAGCAACCTTATCTCACAATTTCAGGAGCTCCTTTATTCACAGTTGTGCCCCTAGAAATTTGGAGGAAAACCCATCAGTGGAATGTAGAAGTAAATAATTTAAAAATCTCCCCCAAATTATGTAATGTGCAACCCTAAATAACACTGTTAAAGCATATGAAGAGCTTTAATGATCATTTAGATAATTTTAGATTTGTAGAGATCTACTTTTCATTAATCACATAGCCTAAGTGAACAGGGGGTATGAAAGTCAGTTTATTCATGCTCAACTTAACACCTGTGCAGCTGGGGGCAGAGAGCTAGTACAGAGATAAGGTACTTGTTTTGATGTAGCTGACCCCAGTTTGCTCCCTGGTATCACATCTGGTTCCCTGAGCAGGCGTGATCAGTGAGTACTCTGGGTGTGGTCCAAAAACCAAAGAATAACAAAAAAATCCTATGGAACAGAATTTTTATCTTTTCTGGGTTGTCCGGGGCTGGAGCAATAGCACAGCAGGTAGGGCGTTTGCCTTGCACGTGGCCAACCCGGGTTCGATTCCTCCATCCCTCTCGGAGAGCCCAGCAAGATACCGAAAGTATCCCGCCCTCATGGCAGAGCCTGGCAAGCTCCCGTGGCGTATTCGATACGCCAAAAACAGTAACAAGTCTCACAATGAAGACATTACTGGTACCTGCTTGAGCAAATCAATGAACAACGGGATGAGAGTGCTACAGTGCTGGGTTCTCCAGCTGTGTGTATGTAGTGGTCTATGATTGTTTATGGAAGGTCATCAGCCCTCTCTCCACCCCCAGTAGATTATGTAATGGTTGCATATGAATGAGTATCTTCCCCAAGCTCTTCCACATTACTTTTCTGTGTACTTCGGTCTCCCTTCTATATGTTTATATGCTTTCTTCTGTAGGTGTGTGTTTGTGACAGGGAGAGAGAATATGAATAAATGTCTGAACTGTAATGAAATACATTTGTCATACCCACTTCTCATTTTATAAGCATGGAAACTGTGGCCCACAAATTCAGGTGACTGTCCAGATTCACATAACTGAAACATGGCAGAGCAAGGAATAGAGCCCCTGATTTTTCCCCTTCTCTGTACTTCTCTGTCCTTTTAGCTTCATGTTGTATGCATGTCTATGTGTCTTCCACCCTGACTTTAATGCTAAGTAGATTTTTCCTGGTATGTGTAGAATAAAACTGTTCTGTTATTTTTCAGGTTTTATTTTTTTAAAAAACACACGTTGATGTGCCTTGTTTTTTAATTGGGCCTTTGTGGTCAGTAGCTACATAATAGAAATTGTTTTTATGCATTAATTGTTGCATGTCTTTATTAAGAACATACTGTGTGCCCAACGGAGAGCTATATGTACTGTAGATACAGTAATGTGAAGTCCATGCCTGAATGGTACTTGCATTCTAGAGACAGACAAAATATTATAGACAATATGATGTGTGTGTGCTTGTGCTTTTGCAATGCTTTCAGTAACTTTCTGGAGAGAAACATTAAAATAATGGTTTGAAGACCATTTCTTCATAATGTTTTTCCCTTTGTTACTGCTAGTGCTGGCACTCATTACCCTGTAATATTTGGGTTATATAGTTTTCTCTACTGGATTGTGTAAATTCAGTTATATCTGAGGCAAAGAAATTTAAAATTTTACCTTCAAATCTTTGTTTTGTTTTGGGTCCATACCCTAGTAGCCCCATGCATTGGCTACTCAACATGGAGCTTGGAAGTCACTTAAGCAGTTCTCAGAGGATCAGAAGGTGCTCTAGCCAGGGTTCTAGCTTGCAAAACCTGTGCTCCAGGCCTTGTGCTCTCCTATCAGCCCCTTCAATATTTTTGAAACTGTTAAAAGTTAATGTTTACTTTAAAATAAATTTTATTTTCACTCTAGGGGCTGGAGAGATAATAAAGGGTGCTTACTTTGTACATGGCGGACCACAGTTCTGTCTCTGGCACTATATATGGTCCCTTGAGCACAGAGCTAGGAGTTAGTCCTAAGTATCACTAGATATGGCCCCCAAACCAAAAAACTTATGCCCTGTGTGGAAGATAATACAAGGGTCAAGGTAGTTGATTTGACTCAGCTGACCTGAGTTCGATCCTGGCAAGGACTGCCAGGAGTAATCTCTGAGTAAAGAGACAGAAGCAAGCCCTAAGCACAACCTGGTGTCTCCTGAAACACACACCCTACTCCATCCACCACCCTCCCAAAAGATATATAAGAAGAACTCACTTTACTTCCTCTCCTATACTCATCTCCCTTGTGGTCTACCCATATTCTATACATGTTTTTCTAATATATATTCCTATCAAATAAGAATCTACCTTTTTTCCCCTTTTGGCTGCTCTGTCTTTAAAATCTGTGTATCCTTTTTTTCCATAACTTCAGATCTTTCATTATTCAGACAGTGGCTCGTTTTAGTGTGAGAGTTAGTGCTATTAGTAATTTCTCTGAGGTAGACCATAAATGGTGCTGGCTCAGGAAAACTTGAGAATGGCTGCCCGTATATTACTTGTCAGTCTAGAAGAGGCAGTCCTGGAGACTTGAAATGACTTTTTAAGTGTTCAGATCATGTTATGAACCTCTAGCTAGTACTGATTTGAAGCTTTAAGAAAGTCATCCTCATAAGTATTTTAGATCTATAACAGATCATCAAGGTTCAATTTCGGTGAAAAGAGCATAAAGTGAGAAATTAGGTCTCAAGTTTGTTAACAGTTTGTGTTTAATGAGCTTACTCAAGCTCTGGGTGAATTAATGCCTTTACATGAGTATAATTCCAGAATCAGACTCTTTACATTTATCTTAATGCTCTAAGTCCTTTTCCTTAGGTTCTGGGATCTTCAAAAATGGAAAATAAGATATATAATTGTACTTTATTTTTTAAACTCAAATCAGTCATATTTCTTGGTTTCTATTTAGCAGGAATTTTCTACAGCATAGGCTCTGTGGGAAATTATAGTAAGTAGATATTTGGGGGCACGGTATATAACTCAGTGGAACACTTGCTTTCCATTTGTGAGGTTTCAAGTTCAATACCTAGCATTAGTAAAAACTCTAAGAAGCAAATGTTGGGCTAGTAGCTGTCTTATTAAGAGGTATAGCGTGCACTTTCTAGCATTGCCATTATTAGCTCTTATTTGTGCAGGAGAGCCCTTTAAGATGACTGCCTTGTCCAAGTGAACTCATGTTATAAAATGTCCTTGTGCTTATATCTTCCCCAGTGAACCAACATACATTTTCTGTAGATAATTTTTTGGATCTCACTTCTGTCCGACCAAGCACTATAGAAGATAATACAGGGGTCAGAGAATATAGTTTTCAGGATGCTCTTAATGGTCCCTCTGCTTATGTGCCTGAATATTATTTGATCTGTTGGTGTCCAGTTGTGCTATGTGATATTATCAATGAGGCTAAAGCTATTATAAGCAAATGTGTCTTAACTTGGTAGTTGCTCTCTGGCTATATTCTGCCTCCTGTTTTGGTAATAGTAGGAAGTTATATTCAAATTTAAAAGTTTGTTTTGCTCACTCATTTATAATCAGTTCAATTTTTTCATCATTACTGTTACTGAATTCTGGTCTCTGTACTTATAGGTCCAAGTCATGCCAGGGGCAGGCATGCAAGGAGCCAGTATTCAGGGTGGACAGCCTGGGGGCTTTAGTCCTGGGCAAAGCCAGGTGACTCCACAGGACCATGAAAAGGTAAGAATGCTATCTGACTTTCTCTGTATACGCAAAACTGGATTCCTGTTTTCACAGTTAACAGGTGAATATCAGTGTCTCTTTGAAATTTATATTTACTGTTACCTAAAATTTTTTCACCTCTTTATAATATTCGTAAATGAATTGCAGACAATCTTATATTTTAGACTTATTTGTCAATAATAGTAATCTTGTATATAACACGTTTGCCTAAAATGGCCTAAAATGTTTTCTCATTTCTACCTCATATTTAAAAACAATAACTGACTCCCCACCAATATTACTATTTCTGTATTGTCTGTTGTGGGAAGCTCATGTCTGATGAAAATGGTAAAACTTTTGAGAAGGAGATACTCTTAAAACAGTGAAAAATTAAAGACTTTCCAGAGTACAGATATCATCTTTGTAAGAACTTTGAAATCATAAAATGTCTGTTTGGAATCTAATTGGTAGATATAGTTATGCCTGTGCCTTTTGTTACCAAATAGGGGGGAGCAGGAGCTATACCTGATAGTGCTCAGTGGCTACTCCTTTTCTGTACTCAGGAATCATTCCTGGTGGTGCTTGGATACCGTATGCCGTCTAGAGATTCACATTGGGATTAACTATATGCAAAGCAAGTACCATACCTCCCTGTAATATGTGTGTGGGCCCTCCAAATGTTTTAGAGGGTTTTTTGGTAGGTTAGTTGGGTGGTTTTTGGCCACCTGTTTTCTCTGTGTGGAATAGCCTTTTGTGAACAGAAGTAGGGTGGTTTTTTAGCTGCCATTATTAAAATTCACTTTTATTTTGTCCTTGACTACAATTTTTTTTTTCATCTGCATAGGCTGCTTTGATCATGCAAGTTCTTCAGCTTACTGCAGACCAGATTGCCATGCTGCCTCCTGAACAGAGGCAAAGTATCCTGATCTTAAAGGAACAAATACAGAAATCCACTGGAGCACCTTGAAAGGTCAGCACAATTATTCAGCCTGAATCTGATAAGTTCCTTGTGCATTTGGTTTTGGGGTCACACCCGGCGATGCACAGGGTTTACTCTTGGCTCTGCACTCAGGAGTTACTCCTGGCGGTGCTCAGGGGACCATATGGGATGCTGGGAATTGAATCCGGGTCGACCGTGTGCAAGGCAAACGCCCTACCTCTCTGTCCAGCCCTAGTTCCTTGTGCATTTGAGGTATATGTTTTCAGTCTTCACCAACAAGACTGTCTTGACCTCCAGATTCAATGAAGACTTCGCTCCTATTAACCTGACTCTTTACCTTGAAATGATCTCCTGCATGTAGAGGGACTGCCAGGGTTTGGCAGTATAGAGCCTCAAATGCCAGAGGCCCTCCAGCTTGGGTGCTCAGGCACTGTTGGTCATTTGTGATCTGAAGCCTAGCACACCAAGGTACACATGACCATAATCCCAAATCACGGCTCAGGTGAGCCATATTTCTACTTTAACCTCCACTGCCAGACCCAGACACCAGCAACTCTGGGTCAGAGTACAAGTTGACTAGACCTCAACATTGTAGCTGCTACAGGGCAATCATGACCCACAAGGCTTCCAGGCCCACATACTCTCAGAGCTATTAAGGACTGACTCAGGTTTTTGAGCATGCAGCGCTGATCATTGCTCAGGCCAGCTTATAATCAGACCTTTATCCTTAGACGTCTTATGGCATCAGGCATAACAGAGATGTCTAGGAATTCACTGTTATGATAGATGGGCACAAAAGCATATGAAGTTCTTTAAATCCATCAGAACTTTCTAACCTCATTAAGACTTCCAAACAATTCTATTGATGTTTAATTAAATGAAGTCAATGAAAAAGATTGATATGCTCAGAGAATGCTTGAAAGTATAAAAAATTGCCCAACAGAAATTAATGAGTACTATTGATGAGGTTTTTTTTTAAAGTGAGATTTGGTGGAAAAGAAGAGGCCAAAACCTGAATTAGTGACCTGGAGGAAATCATCAAAAAGAGAAGAAAAATAAGTCTTATAACAAGCCTCTGGACTGTGACAAAAGAGAAGAAAAATTGAAAAGAAAACACTATTTCAAGAAGAGCATATGAAGAATAACATTCGTATCATAATGAAATGTCCTGGAAGGAGAGGGGAAAAATTGTTGTTAGAAAAAAATAATAACTGAAAAGAATTTCCCCAGTCTGAGGGAGATATATATCCTAATCCAGGATCCAAAGAGTTCCAAACAATTTAAACCCAAAGGGAAAACACCAAGATAGCGTGTAACCAGATGATAAAAACCAGAGATGATCCTAAAAGCAAGAGAAAAGTCTCACAGATAAGAGAACCCCCAAAAGATTCACATTGGCTTTCTCAAATAAGACTATATATGCAAGAACAGAATAGGATGTTTCCAAAGTCTTGAATGAGAACAACCAACAATCAAGAATCTTTGATCCTTCCAGAACAGAAGGAATGATAAACTTTCAGACGAAGGTATTCATTGTCTCTAAACCATCTTTGCAAGGAATACAAACTGTCATCTGTGAAAGGCAAGTATATGCTACTTGGAAACAGTAAGATACAGAAAATGAGCACCAGAAAGAGAGAACTTCCACCAGAATTTTGACCAGAAAGGAGAACTTCCAGAATTAAGTGGAGATATTTTTGCTTTAAATTTAAAAGGGGAATAAGCATAGAACTTTAAATGTGAACTGCATGATAACCTTGAAGCAAAAGTAGTTAGAAGAAACAAGAGGCAATTGGACGCTGATCACTACACAAGGACTTTTTTTATTTATTGTTTTAATTGAACCAGGATATGCAATATTGTTAAATATTCGTTTAATGCATATATCATACCTACACCACATTCATCACCAGAGTGCTGTACCACCTGTGTTCCAAATGCCCCTCCCAGCCATTTCCCCTTAACTAAGCTCGGTTCTGTAAACAATATCTCTAGTACTAATTTTGGCTAATTCTTTTTCCCTGGTTTATTTCTTTATATATGAAAGTATATCAGTAAGTAATAAAAATCTCTAGATTAAAAACAATCACCTAAATAGACATAGAGACATTCAATATAAATAAAAATTGATTTATTATTGAAAAATATTTTAAAACCCCTTTAGAAAGCTAGGACTAAACAGAATTTTCTTAATCTAGTAGTGAGCAGCCATAAGCTCAATGAGCAAATGCCATACTTGATAGCAAAGTGCTGAGAAATTACCTTATAATGAAACTTTTTAATACTTCTTGCAAAACTGGTTTCAAAGTTATGGATTCCCTAAGCCTATAAAGACTTTTGATTGTAAAATGGGTGCAGTAAGCTATAGCTAAGATCATGCTCAGTGGCAAAAATACGAATATTTTTCTGCTTTAGAACAGTTAAGGGTGTTTACTTTCTCCACTAATATTCAATATAGTATTGAAAATCATAACCGCAGAAATTAGTCAATAAAAAGTATCAAGGGCAATAAAACTGGAAAAAAGTAAACTATTATTATTTGCAGATGACATGATAATATACATAGAAAATCCTACCAGCACCAGGAATTAAATTATAGAATAAACCATATAGTAAATTAGTAAGCTATAAAATCAAGACCAAAAATATATTTCTATATGGAAACAGTGAACTAGAAATGTATTTTAAAGGAAATGCTTTAAAATCCCGTTTACAATTTCCAAAAACTTAGTTACCCTAAGAATCAACTGAACAGAGAAAATGAAAGGTTTATGCATTGAAAGAAAGAAAAGACACAAGAATGGAAGAATATTTTATGTTCAGGGATTAGAAGAATTAACATTGTTACAATGACCTTCCCTCCCAAAACATTGTACAGATTCAGTGCAATCCCCATCAAACTTCCAGTGTTCTTCAAGGACATAGATCAGTGCTCCAAATTTTTCTGTACAACTCCCCCAAAAGCCGAAGCAATTCTGAGTGAACAAGATTTTAATATTTTAGTACTTTTTTTTTCCTTTTTGGGTCACACCTGGCGATGCTCAGGGGTTACTCCTGGCTCATGCACTCAGGAATCATTCCTGGCGGTGCTCGGGGGACCATATGGGATGCTGGGAATCGAACCTGTGTCGGCCATGTTGGCTGCGTGCAAGGCAAACGCCCTACCCGCTGTGCTATCACTCCAGCTCCTATTTTAGTACATTTTATGCTATCACTAAAACACACGTACAGAAAATAACTATATATCTGTCTATAGACTCTAAATGAATGAATTCTAATGCAAAATTATCATAGGAAAATGTTAAACTACTAGACTTTTAGTGTGACTAGCACTTTAACATTTTAGTTCAACATCCCATTCTGTTTTCTAAAGTATGAGCTTTATCTGCCTGTTATAACCAGGGGAATAGGTAAATATATTTTGAGGAATAGATAAAATTGTCTGCTTTTTCTAATTTACTTTTGCCGGAAGAGACATTTTCTACAATGTAAGAAAATTATTCTCTTCAAAATAATGAAAGTTCTTTCATTATTTTTTTTTGTTTTTTTGTGTTTTTTTTTTGTTTTTTGTTTTTTGTTTTTTTTTTTGCTTTTGGGGTCACACCTGGTGGCTCAGGGGTTACTCCTGGCTCTGCACTCAGGAATTAGTCCTGGCGGTGCTCAGGGGACCATACGGGATGATGGGAATTGAACCCATGTCAGCCACATGCAAGGCAAACGCCCTACCTGCTGTGCTATCGCTCCAGCCTTCATTATGTATTCTTACGAGACTGTTTATTTCTAAGCCTAGCACAAGAGTTTTTGTCAACCTTTTATAAAGAATTACAAACTTGGAAAGTTGGACAAATAATAGAGAGCCTTATATACACTTTATTTACCCAACTTCATCAGAAGCTGTCTTTTAGTATTTTTATATATAATACCAAGAACTTGATGGACATTGGTATACTGTTGTTGATTAGAATGCGGATTTTGTTTCATTCTCCCTTATTCCATTTTTAAGCATACATTAACTTGAGTATATGTAGTTATACAAGTTTTTGAGGACACAAGATTTTTATTTTGTGATTTTTGTGCTACACCCATAAGTGCTCAAGTCTTCTGGCTCTGTGCTCAGAGATCACTCCTGTCAGTGGTCTGGTACAGAGGATTGAAACTGTCTGCTGCATGTAAGGCAAAGTGCCTTACCTACTGAACTCTCTGACACCTTGTGAACAAGGTTTTAATTGTGTACTTATGTGTACTGTGACCAAAATATTTGCTGTCTCTATCTTTTAAAGCGTTTATTTTTACAGTAGTACAAGTATTACTGATTTGTACTTTCCGGGTGCTATTACATCATGCTCACCTCCAGCATACCAAGACACCCCCCCCCTACTTTTATCCCATGGTTCCTTCTCCCTCTTCGCATCTTCAGTTTACAGTTCTATTGACCAAATCTCACTGTCCCTTTGTCTTACACCTCGCTCATTATGAGCTATCTCTGTTGTTACTGTCAAGCTTATAAAATGTGTCTGTTAGATACAGTGGTTCTCAGCCAGAGGAAGTTTTGCCCTTTCATATCATTTGGAAATGTCTGGAAACCATTTGGGAATATGTACTACTGGGCTTTGGTGGGTAGAGACTAGAGATACTACTAAACATCCTACAATGTACATGACATCCCCCATAGCAAAAATTGAGTTATCTGGCCCCCGATAACAGTGCTGAGAAATCCCTGTTATAAAGAGTGATTACGTTGGGGAGAAAGGAGGCAGGCACCATCTGTCCCAGATGATTTGTCATGTATGTAGCCTCTCTTACCTCAACCTTTTGATTTTTTTCCTGATGTTTGGGAAAAAAATTTTTTCTCCAGTTCTAATGGCTTTCTCCCAACTTTTCCTTACAGGTTTTCAAAAATACCTGGCAACCAATCTGGAAAATAATTCCATAACTTTCTTAATATGTTGCAAAAAGATGACTTCTGCATCCTAACCCTTGAATGATTCAAATTGGTGCCAGGTGGAGGACTCCCATCACCTTCTTTCAGAACAAAATCATTCTGTTGTCTTAGTTTGTATATTTTATGTGACTTGTAATAAACTTTGGACACAATGTTAGTATAGTGCAAATTGCTATGTAGACCTTTATACTTTCAAAAGCTGAACATCAAGGGTAGAGCTTTAGATCTGTTTTTTACCCTTAACTCTGCAGTATTGTGCTTTAATGTTATGTTGCCTAGCCCTGTTTTTCCTTTCAGTTCTTTTTGATATTTGAGTGTCTCTTAAAAACAGTGTTTTCTGGATCTTCATATTTGCTTATGTTTGCTTCAGGAATAAGATTTGCCCTTTGAGACTTTGAGAGCTTGTTAGAACTTCTGAGTAAACTGGGAGAACATAGCACTTGCTTAGAGCTATTTAGTGCTAAGAAGGTTAACAAAACTAAGACCCTAGAAGAGCATTGTGTTTAGAAAAATCAAGTATTAAAAAGTGTCAATTAGTCTGTTCACTTAGGTAGTTCAGAGTTAAGACAAAGAGTTTGAGCACATCGACACAAGAGACTGGTTGACTCTCATAAGTCCTAAAACTCTTCAGTTTAGATAGTCAACCTTAAAAGTTTTTTAAGACCCTAATTATCACATTCACGATAAAGTAGAAGCTTAAGAAAAATCAAAGGAACAAAATACATTTCCCACTGTCTTCTAGATTATCACTAACCTACACAGCCCTGCCATTTACCAATTTATAGAAACAGAAAACTTAAATTTTACATTACTTTCATTTAAGCGGACCAAACATAGACACAACCAGATTCCCCATTAGGCCTTTTTTTGTTGTTTCATTCCAGATAAGTATGAACATAATTAGTGCCAGTAGCTCTAACCTCTGGCTCTCCCAGCCTAGTTTTCTCTCTTTCATAGTGGCATTAAGGAGGAACATGGTTTCTCTTCATCAGGCCAACCTCAAGAGGTTAAGAGGTGCCTTAATAAGTAAAGTTCTATTGGAACTACTCTTGAGCCTATTTATATTCTCAGAATCTTACCCCCTGGGATAGGATTATGGTCAAGTGAATTAAAAGCCTGCCATAGGCTTAGAGAATGTAATAGCATATTGCTTACATGTCAAGCAAAAGAATGCAAAGATAATCAGCTTTATGAGAGATATTGAAATTGAGGGATTTTCTACTCTGATATATAAACATTTACAACAAAATTTGCTGAATAAGATACTTCATATTATAACCCAGAAAGAAAAACTTGGTAAAGTTGAAGAGCTTTCTGAGTAACTTATTCATCCTTAATTAAGCTTGGATGTTGATTTATTATCTTGAGCTTTTCTGCCTACTTCCATGAATATTTTAGGCCTTAATATGTTGTTTTAGCAGTACTCATATCTTGTGATCTCATGGATATTTAGACATTGAGATGAAGAACAAAGCTTTTCAGTCATTAGGACTTGTGAGTTTTAAGGCACACTAAGATTCCAAGTCAGAGTCGTTAAAGATCAAATTATTTTGTCAGTGGTTGTCTAATAGGAACAATAACCATCAAAGTTCATTGTACGTTTTCACTTAAATAGCTGAAATCCAGAAAATTCACAACAGCTGGGGTCCTCCAGCCTGTTTTTATGGAAATAATAATGGTATTTTTTTTACTGATGTTCAATTAAGAAATGAGAACACAATTACCACTGTGAATTCATGGACTACCTTTGTTTCGTTCAGACTAGTGACTGAAAAAAATCAACCTGATCTTTCCTTCAAGTCATACAGGTTTCTGTATTATTAGAAACAACCATTTATTTCTTCTTGGTTACTTAGTGATAGAGAAATAGGTGTTAATAATGCTGGTACATTAAAAGCCTTATTAAAAATCTATAGTGAGTTTAATTGTCTTTAGGCACAAAGAAGTGTGGGTTTTCTACCCCTTTCAGGGGCACTGATCCTTCTAGTGAATCCCTGTGACTACTAACATCCCAGTGTCATGTGGATGGAAGAAATAAATAGCATTTTGATAAGAGGAGAGAAGGCATTTTTCTTATGTCATTAGCTGAATGATTCCTTAGTGAATAGGTAGGTACTTGCCAGAAAGATGATCAAAATTCTAAATTACCTTTGTGGAAAACTAGGTGAGAATTATAAATAGTTATAAAAAGCCCCTGTTGATTTAAGTTACCCAAAGATGCAGTTTAAGTTTTCATGATGGTTTTCAACAGAACAAATGCAAGCTAAATGATTATATTACAGACCTCCAATTACAAACTAGCCAATTTGCAAGATTATTTTCCAAATGGAGAGCATTGGTAAAGTAAGGAACATTCGTAAGCAAAGAAAATCCTTCATTTTTTGACAAGCAAAAATAAGTAAAGCATAAATGGTTGTTCACACTGGATATGATCACGTTTTTTAAATGTTAGAATGTACATATTATATAATGGGATTCTTGGTAATCTTGTGTTGTACTGTGTTACTATTTATGCTAATTATTGTTTTGTCATTAACTTCAATAAATTTTTATTTAAAAATTCAATTTAGAAATCTTTGAAGGCGGGAGGGAAGGGAGATTACCAACAAAATACACTTTGAATCAACAAGATTACCCAGAGTTAAATTGTATAACTTTGACCCACCTCTGCTATTAGACCTTGCTTCAGTCGTGGAATTCCAAAGAACTTGCAGTTATTTTCCCATGAAAGAATCCATCTGCTGCAATTATTGTGACTTCTAAGGTTCTTAAGTTTATGAAGTTGTGAGAGCAAAGTTGAATTGAAAGAGAATGCCACAAACTTGAATGTTGAAAAGCACATTATTGACCCTATTGACTGCCCAGACTTCACCAGATCAAGTGGATTGTTGAAGAAAAAGGGAAGAGTGTAGCTTAACCATCTCCATTACTATAATTCAGAAATTTTCCTTGTCAAGTAAAATTGAACTTTCCTAGAATTCAGACTAGAGTTGGAGACAGCATTTCTGCAGGTTCTTTGTCAAAGCCTATCGATCATATAAGAAGACTTCCACCTCAGACTTATAGAAGAACAAGGCTAGAATGCAGCTAAGGCTGTTAATATAGTGAGAATGCCTATCTCAGGTCTCTACTCCCAAAAACCTTGCATAAAAATTAAGTTGGTTGATTCACATTCTTTGTGGTAGTTTTCTCACTTTTTTTACTGGTCAGCTGCAAAGTGCTTCCAACCCATAATCACTCTCCAAGCTCAGCTGTACCTGTCCTATTCAGACAGATTGGGGAGGTGTAGTATAGTATAGTGGTTAAATAACTAGATTGAAGCCAGGCTGTCTGAATTCACATCCCACTTATAATTTTTGTCCCTTGTGTGTGACTTTAAACAAGTTCTCAGCTTTCATTTTCCTACCTTCAGAGTAGGAATAAAATGAACAGCTGCCTCAAGAGTTTTTTTTTTATTTTTATTAGTGGATCACTGTGAGGTACAATTACAGAGAAACTTTTGTGCTTGCGTTCCAGTCACACAATGATCGAGCACTCATCCTTGCACCAGTGCCCTTTCTCCACCGCCAATAATCCCAGTATCCTTCCCATCATCCCCACCCTATTCCCCCGCCCTGCCTCTGTGGTGGGGCATTCCCTCTCGTTCTCTCCATTTGGGTGCAGTGGTCTGCAATAGAGGTATTGAGTGGCCATCATGTCACTCTAGTCTACTTTCAACACAAATCTCCCATCCCGAGCAGGTCCTCAGAACACCCTTTACCTGGTGTTCCCTTCTCTATCTAAACTACCCTCTCTGCCTCAGAGTTTTTTAAATGAAAATCAGGTAACCCAATTAGGAGATTGCCTGACACATAGGTGTTATTAAAGCTTCCATTGTGCATTTATCCCCACTTCAGTTTCTCACACTGAAGAGGTAGTGATGGGAAGGTTACCTTGGTGAGGATAATACTTTTTTTTGAGTCGGCATTCAGCACTCTCATTCTGTCATGCTTTCATACCTTTTCTCTTAAATTTTTATTTTGTTTTGGAATGGGCTAGATCGATAGCACAGCGGGTAGGGCGTTTGCCTTGCACACAGCCAACATGGCCGATCCAAGTTCGATTCCTCCGCCCCTCTCGGAGAGCCTGGCAAGCTACCAAGAGTATCTCGCCCGCATGGCAAAGCCTGGCAAGCTCCCCATGACGTATTCGATATGCCAAACACAGTAACAAGTCTCACAATTTGTTGTGAGATGTTACTGGTGCCCACTTGAACAAATCAATGAACATCAGGAGGACAGTGCGGTGCAGTGCAGTTTGGGATTTAGAGCCATACCTGGTGATGCTCAGGGCTTACTCCTTTTCTTAGGTATCACTCCTGAAAGTGAGATTCAAACCCAGGTTGACCACATGCAGGACAAGTACCTTACCCACTGTACTATCTCTCTAGCCTGCTCCGTTTGACTTAAATTGAAATATAATGCATCACAGATAACATTGACCCTTAAAAGTGCAATTTGTGCTTTTTGTAAAGTTTTTTGTGCAATTTGTAAAGTTACTAGGTTATGTGACCACCACTCTGATCCAAGAATATTTTCACCACCCCCAAATGAAACCCCATATATATTTGTTGCCACTTTCTCCTAATGGCCCCCTATCTGACACTAGACAATCAGATCTTCCCGACACATATTTGCCTTGTAATTGTATAGCATCTAATCTTTTGTGTCTGGCTGCTTGCACTTAAAATGTTTTCAGGGTTCATCTATGATGCAGCATATATCAGTACTTTATTACATTTTATAACTATTACATTGCTTGGTTAGATTAAATTTTACGTATTCATCTGTTGAATATGTGGGTTACTTTTTGTTTCCACTTATACATTTACGTACAAGTTTTTTTGTGTGGGCATAATGTTTTCACTTATTTTGTCAGTGTATTTAGAAGTGGAATTGTTGGATCATGTGGTAACTCTACATGTAACATTTTGAAGAACTGCGAGACCTTTCTTAGAGTACTGTACCATTTTTAATTCCCATAATTAATGTAGGAGGAACCTTCTATCATTTTCTTACCAACTTTTAACATTGCTTTCTTTTATTATGGACATCCTAGCCATCTCTTTCCTTTTGTGCTATTATTTTATACCTGTTTACTGGCTTCTGTTCTGTCACCCAAATATATTCAGATCAACTTTAAGCTAAATTAGTGTTTCCAAAACCCTATTGCTTCTCCAACAGTCTCAATGCACTTCTCTATTTTCTCCCTAATATGACACTACTCCACATACTGTTTTTCACCTAATTCATCTTTCTCTCTTCCCACATAAGATAATTCCCTTGTTTCTCTGCCACTCTTTTTCCTATTCATTCTTAAACTTCAGTTATGGTCAGTTAGACAGCAATGAACAATTTTCTGGTTTTTTTTTCAATTTTTTATTAGTGAATAACCGTGAGGTACAGTTACAGACTTACAATCTTTCGTGCTTGCATTTCAGTCATATACTGATCAAGTATCCATCCCTCCACCAGTGCCCATTCTTCACCAACAATGGTCCCAGCATCCCTCCCACCACCCTCACCTCTTCCCCTCCACTCCACCCCACCCCGCCTCTGTGGAAGGGCATTTCCTTTTGCTTGCTCGCTCTCCTTTTAGGTGCTGTGGTTTTCAATAGTGGCCATTATAATGAACATCATAATGAACAATTTTCTTTGTTTTTATGCTACTTTACAAAGTAGAGCATTTTTCTACCTTTCTCACTTCGTATTCATTAGGATCTGTCAAGTGAGAAGATCAAGTAGTTACTAATATAACCCCTGTTTTACAGATGAGAAATTTGGTGTCTGAAGAACAGAAATTTTCTTGCATAAGGTACCTGAACTGGAGAGTGTCAGAACACCAGGAGCATCTGGCTCTGAGTTACTAAAAGTTCTTAGTACTGCTGTCATTATGTGTTTCCTTTTTGTATTTTGTGGGCAGACTTCTTCCCTCAACATCCATGTATGTTTCGTGGAGCACATCCCACATAGAATAATTTTTATGCCTACTGAAACATTTGCTGCTGGAAGTCAAGAGCAATATCCTGTTTCTCTTTTCAATTTCCCAAGCTTCTAGAATAGTGAGTACTGAAATTATAGAAGTAAATCACTGTTTTTGACACTGAATCAATCTTTACCTGCCAAAGATCAGATCATCGGTTAACTAGATTTTACCCTCAAAATTTTTATTAGCTTAGGTAGAGCCCATTAAGGCCCCAAACAGTGCATTTTATTTTATTTAGTTTTGGGGCCACACTGGCAGTGTTCAGAACTTACTCTTGGCTCTGCACTCGGGGATCACTCCTGGCGCACTGGCAGGGCCATATGGGGTGCCAGGGACTGAACTCTGGTCAGCCACATGCAAAGCGAACACCCTACGTACTGTACAATTGCTCTATCTCCAACGATGTATTTTAATCTTTCCAATATGCTGTTTGGTAATACAGATCAGACCTGAGTCTCCTTACCCCACTGTGTGGGGACCTCTGAGGCAACTAATGGCATATCAGTTACGTAGTCATGAACCTTTGCTAAAAGCCCCAGATACGATTTCCTTGTGTTTTGTTTTTGATTGGGGGCCACACTTAGAAATGCTCAGGGTCTACTCCTAGCTCAGTGCTTAAGGTTCACTCCTGGCAAGATTTAAGGAATCTTTAGTACCAGGATTCAAACCCCAGTTTTCTTTAAAAAGCATGTGCTCAAGCCTTTAAACTATCACCCCAGCCCCAAATTTCCTCAGTTTTGGGCAAGAGGCTAAAAGTGGTACAGTAGTTTGTCCCACGAAATCTTTTCCAGAGTCTTTAATATGCTATAATAGCTTCCCTAAACCCTAGCTTTGCAAACTCAACTAACTGGAGAATACATTTACTTACTGTAGATAGAGGTTATTGTAGAAAACTCATTTTCCCCCCACACAGGACTACCAAAGGAGATAACCTCCTCCATTTCAGATCTGCCAGGATGTCGCTGAAAATTTTATGCTGCATGACCAATATGGAGTTAGAGAAACAAATGATAAAAAGTTGGTCCTGATAGCTGTCTCTTAGTTATTTTAAAACTTGGTGATGAGGGTGAGGGCTGGTAGTAAATCTTAAGAAATAATACCAGTTACCATGCACTCTTTTGTCTGATGTCCATCTTGTATGGTAAGTACTATATTACTTGAACTCACAATGTTGCTGTTTCCCGATAAGGGAGACAGTGCTTTAGAAAATCCACTTCTAATTCCTCCATCTCCTGCGGGTAGGTTGTTTTCCTTGCATGTGGCTGACCCGGGTTTGATTCCTCTGCCCCTCTCGGAGAGCCCAGCAAGCTACCAAGAGTATCCCTCCTACATGGCAGAGCCTGGCAAGCTGCCTGTGATGTATTCGATATGCCAAACACAGTAACAACAAGTCTCACAATGGAGACGTTACTGGTGCCTGCACGAGCAAATCAGTGAACAATGGAAGGACAGTGCTGCAGTGCTACAGTGCCTGTTCAAAGGAAACCACTGAAATAGGCAAAAGCATCTGTCTCCCTGCGGATCCAGTAAAGAGATCTGAACATAGCAAGAAAGAACATACGTGCCCATTACAATGTGCACTCTCGTCACATAATGGCATATATTTGTGAACTCTGTTTTTGTTGATCAAATCTAAGGTTCTCATGAAAAAAATCACCTCTCCAGATCAGCAGACCTAACATAGTATGGATATTTAGAATTCTGACAACTCTTATGGAAAGAGATCTCTGACCTCATTTGATTTCAATAGATTTTAAAACTTCAAATTGAAAAAGAAGGCCTTAGTCTTACCACTTGCTTTAGAGATACGATCACTACCTCTTCTAACTCCAGGGAGGAGTTATTCTATTGCTCTGTTATCAGTTGTAAAGAACTTAGTCCACATAAGCAATAGACGCATCAGGTCCAAACCAAATGAAAAGTGTCTATGAAAAGTGTACAAACACTTTTGTGTTTTGAGGTTGTCACTTGCATGTTTGAATTTTTACTAGGTGGGCTTCAAGATAGAAGCACGTGGGGAAACCCCAATTCCCACTCCGACCAACACAGCCACTTCTTATAGAAAAGCATCCTCATTGGCAGTGTCAAAGGGACCATCTACCTCAATTCTGGCAGAAGAGAAGACCGTGGACAAGAGAAGACTCTCTACCTCTAACCTTAAATGTCCTCCCAGAAACATGGTTATTCCCACTACTGATTCTGTCTATTCTGGGGACAGGGGACTTTCCAACAGTATTCAGGTGTCTTGGGGGCAGTCACTCCCAGCAATATTCAGCTCAGCAGTGCAAGTCTGACAGTACTCAGGCCCAGTGGTGTGTGTGTGTGTGGGGGGGGGGGGGTCACCAGGACTACTCTGGCAGTACTCAGAGGGCCATGCTGTGGCAGGGATGGAATTCAAGTGCTTCTGCAGTGATGCATACACTCCAGTCCCTTGAACTAGCTTCCTGGTTCCCTGTCTTTGTCATATTGTGTTGTATCAGATTCTGTAACTAATTGCATTCTCTTTTCTGCATGTCTGTATCCTGCTTTGGGACTCTGCCCTCAGGACCTACCTGGTGAATGTTGCTGTTCAAAAGCCCTTATGAGATTTTTTCTGCCCAGTCCCCTACAGCTTGGATATGAAAGGAGAAGTCTCTGGAAACAGAAGTCAGAGGAATGCCACTACTGGTAAGAGATTGAAGGGCAATTAGCAAAAATATACTACCCCACTTCCATGCTGAAGTCATGCTTCTCATAGGCAGTTCCAAAGCTTTGGATGGGTAAACAACTTCTAAATGATGCATGGAATGACAAAGGAGACAAATTTAAATTGTGTCAGTGCCAGGCAGATGAGTAAAGTCAGCAAGTGAGTGAGTAAAACTGGAAGTCTGATAATAAATGAACTGCAAGCAAAAGTCCTGACTAAAGGGGGCAGCAGTTACTAAATAGTCAAGACAGCATCTATGCTGCAAAACCGAAATCCAGCATTAGCAGATTTCTTGATCAAGAGAAGGCAGGAGTGCCATTTTATAATGTGAAATCTTCCATTCCATTATTTAAGTTGGTTAGTATGTGATTCAATTTACTTTTACCTTTATTTTTTTCTAACTGTATTTAAACACCATGGTTTACAAAGTTGTTCATAATGTAGTTGTTTTGGGGCATTTAGTTCCAATACCAATCCCACCGCAGTGTGACCATCCCCCCACTGTTGTCCCCAGTTTCCCACCCACCACAAGTCTGCCCCTTTTTAGGCACAAAATGATTTATTTTATATTGCTTGTTACAACAAACTAGCAAATGGAATTATTAAAAACGTTAAGGAAAAGAAAATTTGTGAAAATTGTTGTATCTCACAATGCTATTATTTGTCTGAAGATTTACTAAGTTGTTTGTTGCTAGTTGAGCCTTAAGTGTTATTGTGTTCATTATGGAGCTTAGTGGGCTTCTATGTTACTTTCCTAGCAAATTTGCTGTGTCCCTATTAGGCTGTCAGTATTGTGGAATTTGGAGGTATTGCATGGTTGTGTATGTGTCTGCACACTGCAGGAGCTGTAGAGCTCGGACAATTTTTTGTCTTGATGTCTCTTAAAATTTGTTGTGAAACTGGGCCTATTTTTATGTTGATGGCTGCAGGGTTTGGATGTGGCTACTGGGGCTTATGGCAGTACTGAATGTTCACGTGAGGCTTCCCTGCCTGCCTCCTCAGAGAAGGCCCCGTTGTTTTCAGCTCCCAAACAGGTATACTTGGGAGTTTCTTTGGCTTAGCATCTCTTCCAAGATTAGTTGTGAAGTAGTAAATCTGGGCCATTTATATAGTAGAAGCTTGTGGGTTATGGCTGTGACTTACAGGGTTTCCACGGCTTCACCAGGGTGCAGGGTGAGGACTCAGTCCTACCCCCTCGAAAGGAGGCCCTGGAATTTTCAATTCAAATCTCACTTAGGATTGATTTGTAAAGTTCATGCCTCATTCAACAAATACTGAGTTTGAGTTTTCGGTTGTTTGGGGGTTTCAGGCCATACCCAAAGTTTTCAGGGCTTACTCCTAACTCTGTACTCAGGGATCACTCCTGGCAATGTTTGGGGGACTACATGGGATGCCATGGACCAAATCCAGGTTAATCATTTGCAAGGCAAGTACATTAGCTGCTGTACTATTTCTCCACCCTAAATAAGTGAAGCTTTGATGCATATAATTAAGTTACTATTTGGCCAAATCTGAATTTGTCAATAGAAAGGAGTAAAGTAGAAAGTTTTGTTTGCTAATCTGTTGTTACTTATAAAGGAGAACAATTTCTGAGATTTGACAGGTCTCACCTGTAAAGGAAGAAGAAGCAAATAACACAGAAATTAAATACGGTGTAATAACATATTTTAAATTATGTATAAAATTTTACCTTTAAGAAACTGAAATTGTCTTCCAGGACAACTTTTCTGATCTGAAAAACCTACAGAACAGGTAGATATGAAATAGGAGAATATAATTGAGGTAAACAAAAATGATAAATATATATGACTAATGCCATATGCAATAGCAAAATATAAAACTTGGTGCTTAAAAAGGGAATGCCCTGTAACAGAGGCAGGGTGGGATGGAGGGGGCGGGGTGGAGGTTGTGGGAGGGATGCTGGGACCATTCATTTTTCATTTCATTTCATCATCCTGTTATTCGTCGATTGCCTCGAGCAGGCCCCAGTAACGTCTCTTTCATCCTAACCCTGAGATTATATTCAAGGCTCTTTAGGAGAATGAGACCCATCATTGTTACTGGTATTTCGCATATTTGGTATGCCACGGGGAGTTTGCCAGACTTTGCCCTGTGGGCAGGCTACATTTGATAGCCTGCAAGTTTGTCCAAAGTAGGAATGAGATGATAAGATGTCATAAAAGATGTCTTGATAAGATGTCGCGCGGCTGCATTTGAGGCCACGCGGTTCCGGAAGCTGGATTTTATAGTCTCTGAGTCTTGGTCATCTAATTAGTGACACGCATGAATGGATGAACGAGATTCCCACTGTCCCTACTTACTATCCTACCTACTGCTGGGACCATTGGTGGTGGAAAATGGGCACTGATGGAGGGATGGGTACTCAACTATTGTATGACTGAAACACAAGCACGAAAGTTTGTAAGACTGTAACTGTACCTTATGGTGCGTCACTAATAAAAAATGTAAAAAAAAAAAACTTGGTGCTTATCCATCACCTCATATTTCAGTTTTGTTTTGGTTTTTGGGACCATACCTGGCAATGCTCAAGGATTACTCCTGGCTCTGCAGTTATGAATCACTCCTGGCAGTGCTCAGGAGACTTGTATGAGATACTGAGGATCAAAGTCAGGTTGGCTGCATGCAAGACAAGCATTTTACCCCCTGTACTGCCACTCCAACCCCTTATCCGTTACTTCTCAACTACTCAAGATATCTTTTTTTTAAATTTGCTTTTAGGCTCACACCCAGCGATGCTCGGGGCTTACTACTGGTTCTGCACTCAGGAATCTCTCCTGGCGGTGCTTGGGGGACCATATGGGATATCGGGGATTGAACCCTGGTCGGCCGTGTGCAAGGCAAATGTTCTATCCACTGTACTATTGCTCCAGCCACTCAAAATACCTTTTATCTTGTCTAGTTTAGTTTTTTTCCCCCTTTATTTTTTTTTTAAATTGTAAATTTACAATTTTTTGTGCTTTGGTTTCAATTATACAATGATCAGATACCCATCCCTCCACCAGTGCCCAGTGCCCATTTTCCACCACCCTCCCACCCCCATCCCCCCATCCCCCCTGTCTCTGTGGCAGGGCAATCCCCTGTGTTCTCTCTCTCCTTTTGGGTGTTGTGGTCTGCAAAAGAGGCATTGAGTGGCAAACATGTTCAGTCCATAGTCTACTTTCGACATGCATCTCCCCTCCTGGGAGGATCCTCCAAACATCTTTTATTTGGTGCTCCCTTCTCTATCTGAACTGCCCTTTCCTCTAGGATACCCGGCTGGCCTCTAAGTTATGGAGTAATCCTCCTGGTGCTGATCTCAGCTATTCTTGGGTATTAATCTCATACTTTGTTACTTTATATTCCCCAGATGAATGCAGTCTTTCTATGTCTATCCCTCTCTTTCTGACTCATTTCGCTTAGCATGATACTTTCCATATTGTACCACTTGTATGTAAATTTCATGACTTCATCTTTTCTAAGAGCTACATAGTACTCCATTGTGTAGATGTACCAAAGTTTCTTTAACCAGTCATCTGCTCTTGGGCATTCAGGTTTCTTCCAGTTTCTGGCTATTGTAAAGAGTGCTGCAATGAACAAACAAGTGCAGATGTCACTTCGACTATACATTTTTGCCTCTCTGGGATATATTCCCAGGAGTGGTATTGCTGGGTCAAATGGGAGCTCAATTTCTAATTTTTTGAGAATCGTCCATACTGTTTTCCAGAAGGGCTGAACCAGTGGACATTCCCACCAACAGTGAAGGAGTGTCCCTTTCTCGCCACATCCACGCCAGCATCGGTTGCTTTTGTTCTTTTGAATGTGGGCCAGTCTCTGAGGTGTGAGATGGTATCTCATTGTGGTTTTGATCTGCATCTCCCTGATGATTAATGATGTAGAGCATTTTCTCATGTGCTTTTTTGCCATTCGGATTTCTTCTTTGAGAAAGTTTCTGTTCATTTCATTGCCCCATTTTTGGATGGGGTTGGATGTTTTCTTCTTGTGGAGTTTAACCAGTATTTTGTATATCCTGGATATCAACCCCTTGTCAGATGTGTATTCGGTGAATATCCTTTCCCATTCTGTAGACTGTCTTTGTATTTTGGTCACTGTTTCTTTGGAGGTGCAGAAGCTTCTTAGTTTAAGATAGTCCCATTTATCTATCTCTGTTTTCACTTGCTCGGCCAGTGGCGTGGCATCTTTGAAGATACCATTAGCTTCAATGTCATGGAGGGTTTTGCCAACTTTATCTTCAATGTACCTTATGGTTTCTGGTCTGATGTTGAGGTCTTTAATCCATTTTGATCTTACTTTTGTGCATGGTGTTAGGCAGAGTTCTGAGCCTATTTTTTTGCATGTAGCCGTCCAGTGATGCCAACACAATTTATTAAAGAGGCTTTCTTTACTCCACTTCACATTACTTGCACCTTTATCAAAGATTAGCTGAGCATATGATTGAGGGGAGATGTCATTGTATTCAACCCTGTTCCATTGGTCTGCAGTTCTGCCTTTGTTCCAGTACCATGCTGTTTTAATTATTACTGCTTTGTAGTACAGTTTGAAGTTCGGGAGGTTGATTCCTCCCATTTTCTTTTTCCCAAGAATTGCTTTAGCTATTCGTGGGGGCTTATTGTTCCATATAAATTTCAGGAGTGTTTGCTCCATTTCTTTGAAGAATGTCATGGGTATCCTTATAGGGATTGCATTGAATTTATACAATGCTTTCGGTAGTATTGCCATTTTGACAATGTTAAGTCTCCCGACCCATGAGCAGGGGATATCTTTCCATTTCCTCATGTCCTCTTTTATTTCCTGAAGTAGTGTTTTGTAGTTTTCTTTGTACAGGTCCTTTACTTCCTTAGTTAAGCTGATTCCTAGGTACTTGATTTTCTGGGGCACAATTGTGAACGGGATTGTTTTTTTCATGTTGCTTTCTTCTCTCTCACTGTTTACGTATAGGAAAGCCATGGACTTTTGGGTATTGATTTTATAACCTGCAACTTTACTATACGAATCTATTGTTTCTAGGAGTTTTTTGGTGGAAGTTATTGGGTTCTCTAAGTAGAGTATCATATCATCTGCGAATAGTGAGAGCTTGATTTCTTCCTTTCCTACGTGAATGCCCTTAATATCTTTTTCCTGCCTAATCGCTATTGCAAGTACTTCCAGTACTATATTGAACAGCAGTGGAGAGAGTGGGCATCCCTGTCTCGTCCCTGATCTTAAGAGGGAAGGCTCTCAGTTTTTCCCCATTGAGGATGATGCTTGCTGTAGGCTTGTGGTAGATGGCTTTAATTATGTTGAGGAAGGTCCCCTCTATACCCATTTTGGCTAGGGTTTTCATCATAAAGGGGTGCTGGATCTTATCAAATGCTTTCTCTGCATCTATTGATATGATCATATGCTTTTTATCTTTTCTTTTGTTGATATGGTGGATTATGTTGATTGATTTCCGAATGTTAAACCATCCTTGCATCCCTGGGATGAATCCTACCTGGTCATGGTGTATGATCTTTTTGATGAGTAGTTGGATTCTATTTGCTAGTAGTTTGTTGAGGATCTTTGCATCTGTGTTCATCAGGGATATCAGCCTGTAATTCTCTTTCTTTGTGGTATCTCTGTCTGCTTTTGGTATCAGTGTGATATTTGCTTCGTAGAAACTGTTTGGAAGTGTTTTTGATATTTCAATTTCGTGGAAAAGCTTAAAGAGGATAGGGAGTAAGTCCTCTTTAAAGATTTGGAAGAATTCACTAGTGAATCCATCCGGGCCAGGACTTTTGTGCTTGGGGAGATTTTTTATTACCATTTCAATTTCCTTGATAGTGATAGGTCTGTTCAGGTATTCCAGGTCTTCTTGGTTCAGCCTTGGGAGTCTGTAGGAATCTAGGAATTTATCCATTTCCTCGAGGTTTTGATGTTCCGTGGCATAAAGCTTCTCAAAGTACTCCCTGAGGATCCTCTGAATTTCTGTGGTTTCTGTTGTAATGACCCCCTTTTCATTTCTGATTCGGTTTATTAGGGTTTTCTCTCTCCCTTTCTTTGTGAGTTTTGCTAGAGGCTTATCGATCTTGTTAATTTTCTCAAAGAACCAGCTTTTGGTTTCATTGATCTTTCGGATTTTTTGGGTTTCCATCTCGTTAATCTCTGCTCTGAGTTTTATTATTTCCTTTCTCCTGTTCGGGTTGTGCTCCTTTTTTTGGTCCTTCTCCAAGCTCTTAAGCTGTGAGGTTAGGTTACTTATGTGTGCTCGCTCCTCCTTCCTGAGGAATGCTTGTAGAGCTATAAGTCTAGTTTAGTTTTTTAAAGCATCATTTCTTCTTTTAAAAATTTAATCAAATTCACTTTATTTTTAAAATATTTTTTGTTGACTACTTGGATTACAACATGGAATTCCAACGGTTTATCTTCATATCTCTATATGCGTCTAATTGTCATCACTCCCAGCATCAAAGTTACAGCGTCATCACGCCACCAAGATTGCTCTACTGATTTCTCCCATCTGTTTCTGGCAACCACCATAGTTTTCACTGGTCTACCAGATAGCTATTTTTGTTTTTCTTTTTTTGCCAGTTTATTTCTCCGAATTATTTAAATTACACATACGAGTGAAACCGTCCAGTAATTGTCTTTGTCTTCCCTTTTTTTCACTTAGCATAATTACTTTAAATATAATCCATTTTGTTCCATGGATCACAACTTCATCTTTTTAATGTCATTCAGGTAAGACATTAATACCACATGGGAATATACTGAATTTCTTTAGTTATTTGCAAGTGGGTGTGTAATTTGATTCCATATTTTATGTATTGTGAACAAAGTTGCTATGGAACATAACAGTGCAAATAACCTTTTATTTTTATATTTTTATATCCTATGGAAAAAATACCTATGAATACTATTGCTTGATTGCTGTTTCTGTTGGAATTTGTTTTTTGTTTTGTTGCGTTTTTGTTTTTTTAAGGAACCACACCTTTTTCCATGGTGGCCACATCAGTTTATTTTATTATTTTTCATATTTTAAAATTTTTTATTAAGGCACTGTGATTTATGAAGTTATTCATAGTTAAGTTTTAGACATGCAGTATTGCAGCATATCCCCCTGACCCCTTCCAGCCTGCTCTCTTGACAGGCTCCTTTCTAAGTTCAGTTATTGTAGCTTGGGTCTGTTGATTTCAGTGTTGTTGACACTGTGGTTTGGATATTCAGCTCTGTGATTTCTTAACACCACCTTTGTACCTGAGTTTTCTGACCATGCTCCTGTTGCTTCCCATTTGTGTCTTCTCCTCCTTCCTTTCATTCTTTCTTTCCTTCTCTGCCCTATAGTCTGGGGCAAAGTTTGACCTGGGTATCCCCCATTTAAAACATTGCATTCCCTCATCCATTTATTCTCAATACCAGTTATTAGTGATATCATCCTGTGTGTATCCTTTTTCTTGGCTTACTTCACTTAACATGATGTCTTCTGGTTCCATTCATGTTGCGGCAAATTGCATATTTTATTTATTTGTCTAGATTTCTGTTTCTATTGGAATTTTTTTAAGGAATCACACCTGTTTACATGGTGGGTGCAGCAATTTATATTCCCACCAATAATGTACAAAGGTTCTTTATTTTTATTTACTATCCTCACTAACACTTGTTTTCTGCCAGTTTTATATAGACCATTCTTATGAACATGAGGTGATAGTTCATTGCGATTTCAAATAAGTGCTGATAAACATTTTTTCATGTGTCTGAGAGCCATCTGTATGTTTTTTAGGGGGGAGGGGAGGGAAACTATCTGTCCAGATCGTTCACCCATTTTAAAAAGCATCTTTCTGTTCCAGAGATCTCAGAGGTAGCTGGTCGCCTCCACATGCATAGGAGCTACTAAAATTCTATTTCCTAGAAATGTTGAGTCATCTCCTATTTGTACAATTGTACATTGGAAGTGTGTGTAATGAGATTTCTCAGGCTGTTTTAGGCAAATTATATGCTTGAGTTTTTCTGAGGAGGACAAGAGCAGAGATGGGGCTAGGAACCTGAGACTACGCATTATACAATTTGATATTTCTTATTTGGAAAAAATAAGAAAATTTCTCTGGAAATTTTCTCTGGAAAAAATTTTCTCTGAAATTCAGAAGACATAAAAATGTTTAAGAAATGGCTATTGTAGATAATGGCATGGTGAATATGGGGGCGCATACATTTTTTCATGTCATTGTTTTTCCTGTTTGTTACATAAATAGCAAGCAATGGAATAGTTCGATCTTATGTTATTTTAGATGCTCTGGGGACCTTCCAGTGCCAGATACAAACCAGGGTCAGCTTCAAACAAAGCAAGTGCCTTAACCCTCATACTTTCTCTCTGGCCTCTGAATCTTATTTCTAATTATTTTGAGGAATATCTGTACTGCTTACCATATTGGTGCTAAGTGAAATAAGTCAGACAGAGAAAGACAAATACTATGTAGTTTTACTTATATTTAGTAGATAATAAGAATGAACAAAAAAATGAAAACAGACTTATACTGCAGGAACAAAATAGTATTATCAGAGGGAATGTGGAGGATAGATGGGCAAATTGAGTATAAAAGCTCAATAGTGTGTTGATAGATGAAAACTAGACTTTTAATTCAAGCATAGTATAGTTTACACAGATGTTAAATTGTAATGCTGTATACCTTGAACGTATGGGATATTACAAACCAATGTTCAATAAAAAAGAAAACATATATGAAATAAATTACTAATAACAATGTGGGAAAATTTTTTTCCTCAGAAGCAATCAGAGAAAAGAATATTAAAGTGAGTTTCTTAAATGGGAAAACAACCTTATGTGTTTTAGGTGGAGCATGGGAACTGGGATTGTGGCATGCTAGGATCAAACCCAGGGCCTCTTACATGCAAAGCATGGAATGGCCTCCATTTACCAATGTAGGAAAACAACTTTAAACAATAAAGCTCAGCATTATCTGGAAGCGGAAAAACAGGTATATTCACACGTGCAGCTGGTGAAAGTGCAAAATGATAGTGTCTTTCAAGAAAGCAATTTGGTCATTATTGTAATAATAATAATAATAATAAATAATGTAACAGCTCCTAACAAGAGTCTGTTCTTGTCCATAGGTTTCTTACCTCAGCAGGCAGCCTTTTAAATTGGTGGACAGGGGGCCAGGGAGGACTTGCAATGGGAATCACAACCCTCCTACTTCCTGAAAGAGTTTATACTATTGTAAGGATGACTCATTCATGCTCTTGTCTGTTTGACTCCAGACAATTCCACTGAGACAGAAACAGAAAGACAATTTTGGGCAAAAAATTATTTAAGCTCAGGGGTTGGAATATGAAAACGAAGGTTTTAAAACTACCCAATGCCTAAACAACTAAGGCTATAAAGTAGATGATAAAAAGATTATATGTATACAAAATACCTCCTCCAAATTAATAACTCCTCCAGATAAACTTCATAAATGAAACCATCATGAGAATCAGAGCTGTTATGATGATAATCCAAATGAGACCAGCAATGCTGGTGAACCTGGTAAACTTAACTGTCTATGAAAGGAGAAATGTAAGGCTAGCACAAGGCACACCAAGGATACTATGCCCTTACTGCTCATGACCAGATGCCAGGTGCTTTGCCATTGATTCAACTCATAGTGTTTGGAGACAAGATGGGATTTAGCCAAGAATCTATCTCTTTCTCATCATGAGATAGATTGGAAAGAATGGAAGCAAGGGACCGGTATGTAGGCTCTTAGCTTCCCCTGTATTATTTAAAGTTAAATAAGTGTGCAGTGATTTGAATAACTAAATGGAAAGATGGAGAGGAATGTGAACGATATCTTGGGAACATCACAACAAGTATACCCTTTGAGAGAAGAATCCTAGGGGCTGGAGAGATAATACAGTGGGTAGGGTGTTTGCCTTGCATGTGGCCAACCCAAGTTGAATCCCTGGCATGTCAGGTCCGTCAGCACTACCAGAAATAATTTCTGAGTGCAGAACAAGGAGTAACCCTTGAGCATTGCTGGGTATGGCCCCCAAACCTAATTATTTTTTTAAAAAAAACCTAATATCCATGGGGGCAGGAGCAATCGTACTGTGGGTATGGCACTTGCCTTGCATGCAACAAACACAGGTTCAGTCCCAGCATCCCTTATCCCACGCCCCAGGCATCCCCAAGCCTGCCAGAAATGACCTTTGAGTTTCAGAGCCAGGAATCAGCCCTGAGCACTACCAGGTGTGACCCCAAAACAACAACAAAAACGAATCCTGGTATCCTACATCTAGTGTTCATCAGAGCTGAGATTTTTTTACTTCATTCACAAAGGAATAAAATCTAAGTTCAATGAAAATAGACATAGAAAAGTGCTGACAAATACTACCAGATAATATTTTTGAATCTGTATTTCCGTGGATGATTAAAACTGAACTCTTAATGTCCCCAAACTTGTAGGGTTTTTAAAAAAATTATTTTTTAAGTTTTGGGGTCTATCAGTGCTCAGGTTTTAACTCCTGGGTCTGCATTCAGGATTCACCTCTGTCAGGACTTGGGGACCATATGGGTAGATAGGCCAAAAAATGCAAGACAAGTGCCCTGCCTGCAGTTTTATGCTTTGCCTTATTTACCTATGTTTAGACAGTTAATGTATACTACCAGTTTGTGGAAGGAGAGGTTGTGATCCAGTGTTTTATTAGTATGTGCTGCAAAAATACATATTACGTGATCAAGATTGGGTTACTTTTGGCAGCTTTATGAAATTCACTAATCCCTAACTAACATGCCTTACAAAGAGAAAGTCAATAGCCATTCCCTGGGCTGTCAAGATCTCTAACTTCCATCCCTAAGAGCTTGGTGTTGAGTCATCCTTCTATGGAGTACAGAGTCTCTTGTCAATATGAAGGTTGACCTCAGGGTATTTGTGACTCACTGGCAAGTACCTCTCAGGATAGCAGATTTCGACACACTGGAATCATAATCAGTATACTGTTAAAATTTAGGATGTGAGCAGAGGCTTGGTCACAGGCCAGTGACAACTAGAGTAGAAGAAAGAAGAGACCATTAGCTGGTTCATCTCAAATCTAGCAGTTGGGCAGAGGTCCAGTTTGCTTGTCTGAGATCTGGAAATGGACTGGGCCAAAAGTTCTTTTTCTATTTCATCCCTGTGTTGCTAGCACAGTAAGATCAGATTTTGTTTGCAAACTATGGAAAACTTGCTGAAATTAATCTTAAATTGAGAAATTCCCTTGACAGTGGTTTGAAAATGTTTGATGTTATATTGAAGGACAATAGGGTTTAATGATTCCTTGTTTATATCCTGTGGATGTAATACTTTCCAACAATTATTTTTGCTTAATATACTTAATTATTATTTTAAAGTTGGTAATTTTTAATCCAAACTTGAGACTAAATATTTTAATTTGAATTTTAAATTAACCTTAAATATTATCATTATAATAGTGTCGTAATTATAGACATCTTTTTCTTTTCTATACTTTCTAATGAGGTAATTATAAGTCTGTAAGACTAATAAGAAGTCATATAATAAAACAACTTAACTATTTATATTTAAAATATCTTTATTAATTGAATGAAACCTAAGTAAAACTAGTGAAACTTTCAGAACAAAAAAAATTTTAACTTAGAGATTTGAGAAAGAACTTCACTGTCAAACAAACACTGTCCTCCCGTTGTTCATTGATTTGCTCGAGCGGGCGCAGTAATATCTCCACTTTGAGACTTGTTTTTGCTGTGTTTGGCATATTGAATACGTCATGGGGAGCTTGCCAGGCTTTGCCGTGTGGACAAGATACTCTTGGTAGCTTGCCGGGCTGTCCGAGAGGGGCGGAGAAATCGAACCCAGCTCAGCCAGGCAGGCTGCATGCAAGGCAAACACCCTACTGCTGTGCTATCGCTTCAGCCAAGAAAGAACTTCAGTTTCATATTCAAATTTCAGAATTTCATATTGATTTGGTGAGTAGCTGTTGTCAGGTGTGGGGGAGTTGAACCTCACCTAGCTGTGCGCAGGTCTGTTCCCTGCTGTCTGCTCAGGAATGACCCCTGGCAGTGTTCCAGGGATAGTATATGTTGCCAGGCAGTCGAACAGGGGTGGACTGCACACCTTAACTTCTGTACTATCTCTCTAACACTTCATATTGATTTTTTTCGGTGACTCCGCAACTTTAACAAAGAGCAGCCTGATTCAGCAGTGAATTTCTAGAAAAGGAACACATGAATCAGTGCTTCAAAGAAATAGCAAAGAAGGACTAAATAGAAGATACTCTATACCATAGTGGTTCAAGTCCAACTCTTCTCAATTCTATACCAATAGTTTCTGATTTCTCCTTGCACTTGGGACTGCAAATTACAAAGTGTGGCAGTCTCAAAGCAACAGTGATGATAGTGGCAAGTTTTAAGCTTTATGAATAAAAATGCATATAATAATATCCTAGACTTAATCATGTAGAATATTAAAAATACTTCTGCAAAATTCTTTGAGACATTCTTTGTTAATTTATAAAGTTGCTAATGTAATATTTTTCTTTTTAATTTTATTGAATCACCGTGAGATAGTTACAAGCTTTCATGTTTGGGTTACAGTCACACAATGACAAAACACCCATCCCTCCACCACTGCACATTCCCCACCACCAGTATCCCCTGTATATCCCCCCTTTTCCACCCTCCCCTTGCCTCCATGGCAGACAATATCTACCATACTCTCTCTCTCTACTTTTGGGCATTATGGTTTGCAATACAGATACTGAGAATTTGGTCCATTATCTACTTTCAGCACACATCTCCCATCCTGACCGATTCCTCCAGCCATCATTTTCTTAGTGATCCCTTCTCTAGTCAAGCTGCCTTCTCTCCTCCGCTCATGAGGCAGGCTTCCAGCTATGGAAAAATCTTCCTGGCCCGTGTATCTACTGTCCTTAGGTGTCAGCCTCATGTTATATTATTTTATACTCCACAAATGAGTGCAGTCCCTCTATGTCTGTCCCTTTCTTTCTGACTCATTTCACTTAGCATGGTACTCTCCATTTTAAAGTTTATGATACTTTAATTTATGCATTTTAAATTCTCATTAATGCTTATCTCCTTTAAATTTAGTAGTTATAATAGAAAAGTCATTTAATTTGCACATGATTCAGAAAGTGATTTTAATGGCTGGGGAGATGGTTCAGGTAGTAGAACAAACACATGCCTAGCATATATGAGGGAGTAATGAGTTTTTTTGCACCACCAAAAAATAAATTAATTAAATCAAGTTAAAAAGTGACTTAGTATCTCTGTAGGAGGCATTATAATTTAAAAGTATTTACGAAATGCATTCCATGCATACTGCTTGATTTCTAGACTTTTAAAAACTGCAGTATAATAAAAATAATGGATAAAGATAGCAGGTAAAAATAATTTACTGTGAGTTATATAACAAGCAGAATATATTCCACAGCTTCTTGGCTTTTCATCCACACCCAGTGGTGTTTGGCTTTGTACCTGGGCAATGCTCTTGACAGTGACCAGGGACCATGTGGTACAGAGATCATTCAAAGCATGTGCTTAACCTATTGAGCTATCTCTCTGGCCCCTTAATAACTTTAGTATTTTATTTTTGTCATTTACAGTTTCTTTAATTTTTTAAATATTGTATTGAGATTCTGTCGTTTAAAGTACTATTAGAAATGGTTTCTCATTCACATAATTCCAATACCACCATTTCCCTCTCCCAGGTACCTGATTATTCCTCCCTCTTAACTGGCTTACCTCTAAGTCAATTGTGTTGATCAGTTTTCCCAACATTTGAACCTTTGGTGCTACTCTGCTGTGTATCCTTAAGTCCAATATATGAGAGAGATCATTTTCTATCCCTATCCTTCTGAGCTCACTGAGTATGATATCCTGCTTCCATCCATGTTGCTGCAGACTGCATGATTTTTTTCTTTCTTAGAGCTGCATAGTATTCCACTGTGGTATACACAGCTTCTTGATCCATTCATCTGTAGTTAGGTGTTTAGGTTTTTTCCATATCTTGGCCATTGTACTCAGTGCAACAGTGAACATAGGTGTGTATATATTCTTTCAAATTAATGTTTTTGTGTACCTAGATTCATTTTGAAGCTCAACAATATTTTTTTGGCTTTAGGGCATACCCAATGATGCTTAGGACTTACTCCTGGCTATACACTCAGAGATTACTCCTAGTGGACCTTGGGAGGACCATACTGGGTGCCGGGGATTGAACACCTATCAGCTGTGTGCAAGGCAAGTGCTCTTCCCTTTGTGCTTTTGGTGCAACCCCAAGCTTAACAACTTTTGCAACTTTTAAAAAATACTTATCTTGTCTTTTTGGCCATGCTCAGTGGTGCTCAGGGGTTATTCTAGGCTCTGCACTCTGTAATCACTCTTGGAAGTGATCAGGGGACCATATGGCGTGCTGGGCATTGAATCCCAGCCAGCCACATGCAAGGCACTCTACTACCACTCACGCCCCCCAAGAATGCTTTTCTTCATTAAAGTAGTTTTTCATTAAGACATAGACATTTCAGGTGTACACCATCATAAATTGACATTACACCAATAAAAGTCTAATTCTGTCCTTCATGATACAGTTGTCCCCTTTACCTGATAAACTACTCCTCTGTCCCCCTTCATTTCAGGTCTTATATTCTAAGAGTTTGTTTTTTATTGTAGTTCATTCATTTGCTTGATTTTTGTTATTTTCTCTTTTTTTCTTCATTTGATTGAAATCAAACTTAACTTTGTCAGTCATTAACAAAATTGTCTTCATAAAATTTTGCTAATCCTTCTGACTTCCCTGAATAACATTATTTATCTAAAAGAGTTTAGCTAACTAGTCACTCTTCTACATGTAGCTGTTAGTTGCTTGCTAAATGGGGAGCATATAATCTCAAGTGAAAAATTGGTGCGAGGGGGCAGAATTCAAAATTCTTTTGACACAAAAACTATTTTTCCAATCAACCTACACCCTGAGTGACAGCCGTTAATAAGCTGGACCAAGGTCTGTCTGATGTCCACAGTGATTTACAATGTGAAGTACTACAGCAGTACAGTGAACCAAGAGCGAACTTGCTATTTTCCATTTCCGACTTTTCCACAAAACCTTTGTTTTCTCCTTCTCCTGAGATATATTCCAATTTTTTTGGGTAGTGAGTGAAAGCTTGTCTAATATCTGAGAAAATTCTCTCTAATCTCAAAGATCCTGCCTTTCCACATAGGTTCCCACAACTTGCTTTATCTGAGTCACAGAAGTTTCTCTCCTCCTTCCCTTCCTAACTCCCTCCTCTCTCCTTTCTATAATTCCCCTTTCCCATAACTATTTTATTGTTATTGCAATGGCAGGGGTAGTACACACACTTGGTTGTTATACTTACATAGAATTTTGGTTGTAGTGCTCACTGGGGTTCACATACTTGTATTTCTTGAGCACTTTACTTAGGCACTTTCATAAATAACATTATCTAAAAAAGTTGTTCGCTTCAGCTAACTACTTACCCTTCTACATGTAGCTGTTAGTGGCTTGCTAAATGGGAAGCATGTAGTCTCAAGTGAAGAATTTTGGGTGGAGAGGGGACAGAATTCTTTTGACACAGAAACTAATTTTCCAAACAACCTATACCCTGTATGACAGCAGTTTAATAAGCTGGGCCAAGATCTGTCTGATGTCCACAATGACTTACAGTGTAAAGCAGTACAGCAGTTCAGTGAAAATCATACTGTGGCACATAGATATTGTGACTATGGAGATCCCAAATGGCGTTTCAATGCTTGCTCACATGCTCACTTGGGGTAGCACTGTAGCACTGTCCTCCCATTGTTCATCGATCTGCTCGAGCAGGCCCAGTCTCCATTGTGAGACTTGTTGGTAAGACTTGTGTTACTGTATTTGGCATATCGAATATGTCATGGGTAGCTTGCCAGGCTTTTGCCGTGCGGGCAAGATACTCTCAGTAGCTTGCCGGGCTCTCTGAGAGGGGTGGAGGAATCGAACCTGGGTTGGTTGGGTAGGCTGCGTGCAAGGCAAACACCCCACCCGCTGTGCTATTGCTCCAGCCTGCTCACTTGGGGTAGTGCTCTTAATTGAATCTCACACATTCTACTTGTAGTGCTTGCTGTGGTCACTGAAGTGCTCACACACATGCCTACCAAGGACCATACTTCCTTGTTATAGTTCTTGCACATATTTTCAACTGTGGTGTTTCCTGGGAGTCACACCCCTTTGGTATTCACACACACCTGGCCTCCATGTACGCACAAATCACTTGCAATTCTGGGGATCATAGATAGCAGAGCTTTTAGGTTCAAACTGCAGGGCTACCAGGATCATACTTAGTACATGTAAACGTAACTGGGATCCAATCTCATGATCCTAAGTTTTTAAGACCAGTGTACTATGCCACTGTGCTATTCCTTTGGACCCTGTGTTTTTCAATGTCAGTGCAAGCTGGTGTTTGAGTTGAACTGCTACTCTCATTAGTACCTTGTTTCTGCTGCTAGCCCACTCTGCTTCATAAGAAATCAAATAGTTCTCTAGATTTTCGTAGAGAAAGTCTGAATGTGAGAAATGCCCTGTAGAATGTTAAATAAATTATGGTATATAAATTCCATGGACTGCTATGCCCTGAGGAGAATGAGAGCTGGGTTGGTGAGAAAGCTCAAAGGGCTGGAGCACATGGCTAGTATGCAGAAACTCCAGGTCTGATTCCTGGCATCACATTGTTCCCTGTTCACTACCAGGATGTCCCGCAGGGTACCCAGCTCTACTGAATTGAGTAGTGCTGGGTTGACTGTAATCCTGGAGTGCTTTGTAATCCGCTGAGCACTGCTTGTTGACCAAAACAGGGAAAAAGGAGGCACTGAAGGGATAGTACAGCAGGTAGGATGATAGCCTTGCAATTAGCTGACCCCATTTTGATACTTGGAACTCCATATATTCCCCCTGAGCCCACCATGAGTGATCCCTGAGCACTGAAAACTGGCCTAAACACCCCCCTCAACCAAAAAAATAAAAAGTAAAAAAAGAGGATGATAATTGTATGCAGTGGCATAGGAGTGAAAAACAACCAAGTTCTGAAGGGAGGAGGTAATTTGATTTCTAGCATTTGCCTATTTATATTATATAGTCATTCCCACCCACCATGATAGATTTCAAGATACCAACTTGATATCATTGGACAGCACTGAATCTTTACAGTGTGAGCCCCAGTTTTGGTTAAAACAAGAAAATATATCTTGATGAGATGGTCGTTCCATTGAGAGTGAATGGGGCGTCAGGAACAAGGCTGTTTCTCATAAACATTGTCTTCGTAAGATTCAGCTGTAGTCCTACCTTTCCACACTCACAGTCAAAGTCGGCCAGCATTTGTGCCGCTTGGCTGATGTTTGGTGTTATTAAAACAATGTCATCAGCAAAGCGGAGGTGGTGTAATTGCCGACCATCTATCTTCACTCCCATTCCTTCCCATTCCAGTCGTCGCATGATGTTCTCGAGGGTGGCACTGAAGAGTTTCGGTGAAATGGTATCACCCTGCCGCACCCCTCTCTTGACATCAACGATCACTTCTTTGTAGAATGGTGAGATCCTGGTAGTGAATCCGCAATACAGCTCACGGAGGATCCTGATGTATTGGGCTTGAATGCCCTGATTGGCTAGGGCTTCAATGACCGCTTCCGTCTCAACAGAATCAAAGGCCTTCTTTAAATCAATGAACGTTAAACAGAGCGGCATCTTGAACTCCCGAGAAACCTCAATGAGCTTGGTTATCGTGTGGATATGGTCGATGGTGCTGAATCCTTTGCGGAACCCGGCTTGCTTGCATGGTTGTCCTTCATCTAGTGTTCTGCCAATCCTAATTAGGATGACTCGAGTGAACAACTTGTAGATGACAGACAATAGGCAGATCGGGCGATAGTTGCCAATGTCATGGATGTCTCCCTTCTTGAACAGTAGTACGGTCCTGCTGGTTTTCCATTGGGACGGAACCTTGCATTCAGACAATGTTTATGAGAAACAGCCTTGTTCCTGACGCCCCATTCGCTCTCAATGGAACGACCATCTCCAAATGCAACAGCTATGTGTACATAGGTCGAGAGGTCAACATGACAAATGACCTGACACCCGAGCTGCGCAGGAGGAAGAGAGCGGCTTGGAACGCCTTCAAGAACGTCGAAGAAATAGCTAAGAGGACGAAGAACCTCCGGCTCCGGGCACATCTCTTTGATTCCACTATTCTTCCTGCATTAACATATGCCTCAGAGACCTGGGCCCTACCCAAACAGGATGAGAACGCTATTCAGGTCTCCCAAAGAAGAATAGAAAGAGCTATGCTTGGAATATCACGTTTCACTCAAATGAGAGAGAGAATCCGGAGTTCTGACATCCGTCGACGATCAAGAATCAGGGACGCTGTCTCATATGCCAAGGTGTCGAAAATCAGATGGGCTGGTCACGTAATGAGATTTAAAGACGACCGCTGGACTAGAGCTGTTACCGACTGGATTCCACCGGATGTCAAAAGACCGCGTGGCCGCCCACCTTCCAGATGGTCAGACTTCTTTGTCAAGATCATGAACGATCGGTTTGAGGCCCTTCATGTTCCCGGAGCGAAGAGATGCCATTGGGCTACACTAGCACGCGACAGGGACAAATGGAGACGTTACTGGCGCCCCCTCGAGCAAATCGAGGACTAACGGGAAGTTAAGTGATTAAGTGATATCTTGATGCATATGTTCATCAAAACTCACAGAAAGAATCCCAAAAAAAACTATAGTATAAGCTTAAAATGAATATAAATATGTGATGCATTTGTGAACATATGTTACTCTCTTTGTACACAACCAAACTATTAGCTGTGGTTCTCTCTGAAGGTTGAGATGGAGGGCTATTTTTACATTTATTATACACATCTGATCACAGCTAAAGCATCATTATAATTCAATTTATCTAGAAGAACTAAATTCTTTTTAAAAAATGGGAGCTACTCCAAGTGATGCTCAGCAGGGCAATGAAGGCCTGATGATTGGGTGGTGTGCTAGGGAGCCATGCAATGCTAGGGCTCAAACTCAGGAGCTCGTACATGCTAAGCACGTACTTTACCATTTAAACCATATTCTCATCCTTAAAGAAATGACTTTTACAAATGAAATGTCTGCAGGATATCAGTATGATTCATTTTTCTGCTGCTAACATTTTAGTTATAAAGCAATCCAGCACTTAAATGTTCATTGCATCATTCTCTTAATAAAAGACTATTTTTAAAAATAAATTGGCACTTCTTTGGGGTTATACTTTGCAGAGAAGGACTAAGGACTAACATTTGAAGTGGAAAACAGCAGGGTGAAATAAGCCGTGAGCAGAACATGCAAATTAGTTGTGATCTCAACACATATCCTTTGATTATGGAGAAGAGAGGAGTATTTTTAAAAGGGACACTGTCTATAAATATATGCATTGGGTGGAACATTGAAAGCTAATGAAAAAAGTACAAGTCAAGATTAATTTGATGTAACCAAATCTGATACCTGGTACTTAATAACAGACTAGAGTTAGCAGTCAAATTTATTTTTCTAATCAGAAAGGGGCCAGATTGATGATCCTATGAAAGAATTGTTCACGTTCATTCTTTCTACTGGTACCTCCCCTTATGTTATGCTCTACCTAGTTTCCTAGTAGTATTCAGAGCCAACTCCTGGCTCTGTGCTCAGTGATCACTCCTGGCAGTACGCAGACCATATGCAGTGCCAGGGATCCAACCAGAGTCAGCCAGGGTTTAGTCCGTAGCAATACTTCTTAAGTTGTTTTATTTTAACACCATAAGGAGGTGTTCATAAGACAGGTGAAAGCTGCATTGGTTAAATTAGGAGCAGCGGCAGGAGGAGTACTGATCAGTTAACTTTCCCCTTACAGCCTGTAAGAACAACTGAATTTCCATGGAAACTAGGTTTGAAAACCATTGCTTAATAGTTTTTTTACTCATGTTTTCATTATTGAGTCCAGAGAGTGTGCCCAAAACAGGGATGTCAAATAGTGGACAAATATAGACAAACCAGCTTAATATCAATTTTGTAATATAAATTAAAGGTT